CGCCGAGGTTTTTGCGGTAGGATTTTCATTCATACAAGGCTGTGTCAAGTCTGTGGTTTGACCAGACACATATACGTTCACTATGGAGTCTGACCATCAGTCTGGCCAACCAGCTGTTTGGGAATATCGGTCACGTATCAAACCTGCCCACAAAAGTTACCACGCTAACTTCTGATGGGAGTCGAGTCAACCATTGTCCATTCTGGTATCACCACTGTGGCCGAACGAATGACTTGACACAGCCCAAGTATTCATATTTTTAACACACCTTGTGCAATTCTGAATATTTCGAGAAATGAAAATGTTGTACTTCCTCACTGCCTATATACTTTGTGTATTTATACAGGGTGAGTCATGAGGAACTGTACACGCATACTCCTACCATGAATAGGATGACCATCGGGAATGGTCTCATCCTCCCATTCACTAATATCTATAAAGGGTGATTCATGAGATTTGGCTGAGATATCTTTCGGTCATAACTTTCCAATAGGTTCTTCGATTTGTCTGAATTTTTGCCTAGCAACATACCTATGTTTGTGTCAGTAATAGTAACGTTTTAAGAGCTAGTTTTGGTATTAAAATGGACGACTTTCGTGTCGGTGGCATGAAAATGTTATTTAAAAATGTATAATCGCATACATAGTTCCATGCATCAATTTCTCGAAGAAATTAAAACTAGCTATATTTTCTCCAATATTTTTCGATTTCGTTACTATTAATATCGTTGATATTGAAGATACACTTATATATTTCGATGATATTAAGAAAACGTTTTCTTCCCACCAGGCAGTGAGAAATTGAAAAAATCATCACATCATAATAATAATAATAATGTGTCTTTATTTTCCATTCATGAACAAAATGCATAAGAGTATTATAAGGAGGAGGCTCTTCCATACATTCCCACGCATATAACAATATTCATATCAGCCTTTTGAATTTTATGCACGATCACATTAGATATATTTTATTATGAGATTGTTCTTTTAATTTCATCGGAATACAAATGTATCACCACTGTCAACCAATTCAAGAGGTGTCATTTTTCTAATAATTGCTTAAAACTCAGTAGGCGAGTATAAAATTGGCAACCTTTCAAATATCTGTTTTCGATACCTTGCCATCCAACTCCATACTATTTGCCGCAATAGGTAGTCATTTTGTCAATTTATTGCCCCACCAGTGATCACGTGATGTGTCAGAATATATTTTAAGTAAGAAAACTCGAGGTCGTCTCCACAAAAGTTCAATGTTAAAAAAGATGCAGTCAATCCTGCTTCGATGATAAGGTTTGAGATATGTTTCGACTATTCGAATGACCATCTTCAGTCAAATTGGCACATCAAAGTGTATCTAGAATGGAAAACCTAAGCTTGATATTATATCATGAATAAAATGGAAAAGGAAATTCACAAAGTTGTAAATGCAACATTGAATTAGTTGACAATTCCAGAAGTATAAAAGAACAATGGTGATTATTATGAAGTATTACAAAAGAAAAAAAAATTGAACTCTATTAAAATAAACTTTTTCTCAATAATGTGTTACGTTCTCCATGATTAACACTGTATAACACTCTTCAATTTCAAATTTTACTGCGTTGATAAATGAACCCAACAATCAGAAACTTGAAAGGGGCATTGTTTGCTAGAAGCCAGTGACAAATTGTCCAGATCAGCAGAGTTGTCCGCTACTCCTTCTAGTTTCATCATTCTTTTATAGACACGAAACTAAGATAGAGTCTCCCATTTTGGGATCGATACATCAAGTAGTCGGCAATAAAACGAAGTAGAGGTTTGATTGAGACTCTGAGGCATCTCAAATTATCCAGCTAGATACAGATAGTAACATAAATTCAAACCATATGAAAGAGATATTTGGAACTGAATGAGAAGAAAATTCCCGCATATTTTGTTTTCTGATGACAGACGTATTCAGTGGAAGATCTAACTCCGGGCGATTTTGAATATTCCGTATCAAGAACGTATAGGTTACATCGAAAATCAGTGACAATTTTATTCTTCTGAGTCTTCCTAATAATGAGACATTTCACCCTGGAGACGAAACGTGAGAAAAAAACCGAATGTGCCACTATTGAAATGATATTTTATTTATCAGATGTTTGAAATGCATTCCATTTTCTTCTGAACAATAGTATACCATCAATCGAATAATTCTTGTTGAAGCAATAGAAGATCCGTTGGACATTGACGGTGATAGGAAAAAGAATGGAAGGTTTCCACATGTTCAGTAAGGCGGAGCACACTGTATTACTTTCTTCTCAGGCAGGCAATTTTTTAGTGACTCTTGTCTAGGTCAATACAGTATTGGACGAAGAGCTCCGATTGAATGCTGGCAAAATCTCTCGATATTTTTTCATCTCTTGAAGCGCACTAACTGAAATTTCTATAATGTTCGTGTAACATCCCGCGTTCCTGGGAAGGACAGGAATAGAAGGAAGGAGTCGGATTTTTAATAACGTTTGCGGCTTTTGAGTTCTTGAAATTACTTCCATTGGCAAAGTAGTACTATCGTCTGCAAAGCTGTGGATAGGGCAAGTGGTTGCTCCCAATAGATCGTTGATATGAGGTAGGATTAATGATAGTGAGAAGATTGATCCTTGTAGGACGCCGGCATTGATGGCAAAGGTATCAGACGATACTCCGTCCACCACAAAATGGAGCGTTCTGCCTGAAAAAGAACTCGATGAAAGATGGCATAACTGAGTTGGTAAGCCGTATGATAGTAGTTTGTGGAGTAGTCCATGGTGCCAAACATGGTCGAATGCCTTCAATATATCTATATAGCGCTTCAGCTCAGCTAGAGATTCTCCATGTTTTTCTAATGAGGTTTGCCATACATGGGTGACGTAGACAAGTATATTCCCAGTTGATCTTCGGTAGCGAAAGCCATATTGTTTATCATTATTGATTCCTGAGCTTTCCAGATATTTGATGAGCTCAATGTTGATGGCTTTCTCAATCACTTTGGAGATGACCGATAACAGGGCGATTGGCCTATAGTTGTTGAGCAGCTCTTGTTTTCTTTTGGATTGGTTGGATTTTAGCTATTTCCCAGCAAGATGGATGTTGGAAATGGTAAATGACTTGCAGAAAATCGGTGTTAATTCTGATACAGACGCTCTATATAACACCCTTAGATTCCCCTCTCTGGTGACATTCAGAATGCTTAGTGTTCAAAACAAAGCCCCATTCGGTAGAAGGACTTCGGCATGGAGTGCTGAGCTATTCTGGAAGACCGATCCGAAATAAAAGAATAGAATTCACGAATCGATAGTACTATTGCTATATCTAATCAAATGAAATATTGCTATATCTGATCAAATGAAATGTCATTTCAATTCAGTATACAGCTGTGTGCATGAACAAGTCGTACAAGTTTTCATGATGTAGAACTGCCTATAATGTTCTAGATTTCATTGAGAAGTAGTAGACAATAAAATTTATAAACGACAAAACAAAACTCGCACCACAAGATAGTGTGTGGATCGAAAAAGGGCTTGACCCCTCAGAAGATATCTCCCTATAGAATCTCACAATCACTCGGTACATTATATAATGTGAACCCTGAAACACGCCGTTTGTCCCAAATTCGAGCTGAATATCTGGAAAACTAGCAGAAAGAAATGAAAAAAAAACATCTTGGAATTCTAAGAATTTTACGGTATAGCGAAGCGTTTGTGGTCTCATGTTCAAAGAAATAAAAAGTATTATTTTGATCTGTTGAATAAGCTCCAGAAATCTTGATAGTGTACAGTGTGTCCCACTTACCATGCTCACCATGGGTATCTTTTTAACGGTGAAAGATACGAGGTCGGTTAAATGACACCAAATGTGGAGTTTGTCAAGGCCAACTATAATGTGAAAAAATATCTTGATAAAATCTATTCGTTTTTGTTTTATACGCAAAAAACAGATTTTGATCATTTTCATGTCTCCTCCGTAACTTCTTTATTTATGAAAATATTCAAATAGGAATTTCACATTCTCATGGCAGTTTTTCAAAGTGATTTCGAAAAAAATATGGAATTCATACAAACTCTTCTAGAATTTGAGATATCAGCACCAACTTTAGTTTTTCAAATGTAGGTCATAGCTCACTATGACTTCGTTATAAAAAACTTTTTTTTCTCTTACAGATGTCGATGTGTCGCAGTAATAGTTTTGTGTTGATAACAACGAATTTATCGTCATTTATACAAAATTTTAACAAAAAAATCATGATCTCCGACCTCAATAACCCCCTTTTACCAATGTTGAATGGAATCGGACCAAATCTTGTCCGCCATCTTGGAGCAGCCATTTTTTTAAATTCCAACAAAAATTTCATAACTCCGTTTTACTAGAAATTTGGCAGGTGTTCATAATTTCGGTGAAAATACATTATGGAATTTTTGTTGAAATAAAAAAAATGGCTGCTTCAAGATGGCGGACAAGATTTGGTCCGATTCCATTCAAAATTGGTAAGTAGGGGTTTCTGAAGTCGGAGATCATGATTTTTTTGTTAAAATTCATAAATTCAAGATGGCGGCTTCCAAAAAATTTTTTGTTTTTTTATAAATGACGATAACTCCGTTGTTATCAACACAAAACTATTACTGCGACATATCATCTGTAAGAGAAAAAAAAGTTATTTCTTAGTAAGTCATTGTGAGCTGTGACCTACATTTGAAAAACTAAAGTTGGTGCTGATATCTCAAATTCTAGAAGAGTTGGTATGAATTTCATATTTTTTTCGAAATCACTTTGAGAAACTGCCATGAGAATGTGAAATTCCTATTTGAATATTTCCATCAAGGAAGAAGTTACGGAGGATACATGAAAATAATCAAAATCTGTTTTTTGCGTATAAAACAAAAACTCCACATTTGGTGTCATTTAACCGACCTCGTATCTCTCACCGTTAAAAAGATACCCATGGTGAGCATGGTAAGTGGGACACACTGTATATTGAAACACCTGTATGTGTCTTTCCAGGCGGCAGAGAGCGGCAACTTAGAGACTTTCCAGCGGCTGTTCTATGCAGAGCCAACTCGTCTGGCGATCCGCGACAGCAAAGGTAAAACGGCTGCCCATCAAGCTGCTGCCAGAAACAGGGTCAACATACTGCAATTCATACTGGAACAAGGAGGAGGTACGCAAATGAGGGCAGCAGGACATTCATTCATAGCGAATTCCATTCGTAAACCTGGTGGTGCACTGGTTTTGCACCCGCCCTACGTTAGTTCTCTCCAAAATGTGAACTGCTGCATTACCAATGGAATACGAAATGATATAATAAAATTTTATTGTTGGAGATTGAATCGGATAAATTTTGAATTTACTCGGCAGTTACTTGTTGGAAATCCATCACAAATGTAAAAACTTCACAAACGATAAGATTTCCACGAAATTCTTAAACGCACAACATGTTTCGCTACCACAGTAGCTCCGTCAGGTGTTATACTGGTACAATGAACTAAACCAACGTTGGCTTGCTTAACTTTTATACATCCTACTTTCCCAACCTGAAGAATTAGTTACCTACGGAAAGGTACGATAAACCTCCATTTTCGGAAATTAGGCACAATATCTACATTAAATTACGGTATACCGGAATAACTTGAGAAGGTTGATATCGAATACATATTATTTCGGATCATCAACTGAAAAATTAGCGTCATATTTCTACATAAACTGGACTTGAGAGTAGCGTATAGAATAAATAACACGTTGGGGAAGTTTGTGAAAAATAATATAGACAAAACTGCTAAATTCGAAAAATCAGGGGTATACAAACTAAACTGTGGATCTTGTCCTAAGGTATATATCGGTGAGACAGGTCGTACGTTCAATCAGCGCATTCATGAACAGAAGATGAATTTTTTGAAAAAGAAAACAAATTCAACATACGCCAAGCATATATTAGGAGAAAACCATTGTTTTGACGGTAATTTCGAAATTCTACATGTAGAAAATAAAGAAATGAAACTCAATCATTTTGAATCATTGAAAATCAACAAACTCAAAATTTTTTTTCTACTTAGTTTACTTAACGATCAATTAGACCTCAATAGTTCACCACTGTTGAATTTGTTTTCTTAGTAGGTAATTATATTTATTCGCCGTTTCAATTTAAACCAGTATACCGTAATTCAATGTAGATATTGTGCCTTATTTCTGAAAATGGAGGTTTATCGATCCTGTCCACAGGTAACTAATCCTTCAAGTTGGGAAAGTAGAATTTATGAAAGTTAAGCAAGCCAACGTTGGTTTAGTTCATTGAACCAGTATATCACCTGACGAAGCTACTGTGTTAGCGAAACATGTTGTGGGTTTAAGAATTTTGTGGAAATCTTAACGTTTGTGAAGTTTCTACATTAAATCGGATAAATTGGTTTGTCTCTGTTTATAACTTGTCCGCATCCTGAAATTTTTTCTTGACTTCAATAAAAAACAAAGTAAATGTTTCATGGATATAATTTTCAGCAGTTTTTTCAATAAGTACCTCTTCATCGTTGAATTAGTGCAAAACACTCAACAAAATTATGAATTCTGAGAAGTAATCTCCTTTATTTTCTTGAAACCTCGAAATTTCCATCACTACTTGATAATGATGATTAGATTGCCACTCAATTTTGGTTTTTAAACTATGCATATTCAATGTTTCCGCCATTTTCAAAACTGTACTGACTTCGCACGACCTATTCGAGCTCGTGCGAGAATTGTTGCACTGAGCTCTAAACTATGTGAACCAGTTTCCCAATGGAATTCAAAACCCGACACCAGTTTTACCAATGGTATACATGCACTCACTCACTCAGTGCGAGCCAGTTTTACCAATTGAATTCGCAATCAGTTCAGGGTCCCTTGATGTGAATTGAAGTATTTGGCTACCAACTGGTCAGTACTGTCAGTAGATCAACTAACTCTGCTGAAAATCTGTATTCCGAAATATAAAATCAAAAATACAGTGCTATAATTCGGAACACGTTTATGGATTTCATCAGCTGGTGAAATTTGTCAGTCTGTAGTTTCTTGTTCATCTGAACTGAATATTTAGCTTCCTGCTTGAGCAATATTTTGGAAATTTGATATTCAACATGGAAGAGCAATCGATTCTTAGTTGCTTCCATGGTTTCTACGATTGTTGACCGTGGCGATTCAAGCTCGAGTGATGAGGACTACTTGGACATCTTGTTGCCATTGATTTTTCATGATGCTCCAGGACATGTTATCTTTATACCTATACCTGCTTCATACTCCATATTATTCTCAGCGGGGATAAGTGTAATTTGAATTTTCTTTGTATTCATTCAATAAACGATTCATTTTGGTTGAAATTTATTTCTTATCTCATTCCAAAAAGCACTAGTGCGGTAATAAACGTCAATATGACATTCAAAAAATGGTCAAATCATAGTCATTACTAGACAGTTGTATAAAATCATATATAATTACTGGTAGTTTTTTGGTATAGAGCTCACAATAATGTCGTTTTAAAAAAATCAGTGGTCTCCGCCAGTCGTCCTCACGGACTTATTGTGTTGCTCAGCAAAACCGACATAATTTTCTCATGCATATGGAGAACATCCTGATAATACTGTTGAAAAATTGACATATTTTTTCAGACTTGGATAATCAGGATAATGTTGGAAATACTCCACTACACGGCGCAGTAGAACACGAGTCGTTGGATGCAGTTGACTTCTTGCTCAGAAAGTGAGTTGACGAATCAATACATATTATTATTTCTCTAAAATTTATGATCTCCCTCGCATATCATCATCATATTGCATCTTTGATAACAATAATCATAGGAGGGAGAAAATCCTAGGAAAGTGAGGAAGGTGACGATGATCAGAATTCGTGAAAAGTGGGCCTTGTGAGAATCTATTGAAAGTCATGATGATGAAAAAGATTAGAGTATGGCAAGAATTCGTAAACAGTGAGATTTCATGTATAATTATAGTAATGAGATGGCCGAATAGCGCAGTGGCTGAGGCGCTCGAAAAGTGATCAGAACATCGAAAGGTTTCTAGGCTCGAATTCCTGGCAGAGCAAAGAATTTTCATTTATAAAGGGAATAATAAATTTTGAGTTTCGTAGTCTCGGCCGGAGATGATCCTGTACGATTCGCTGTTGCGTTTCGATTAACAGTGCTGCTCCTAAGGTTGCGTATGGAGTTAGTAACAAAGCCTGCACAGACCACACATGGGCTGAAGGACCTCTCGTAAGGTCGATGGCCAGTTGGTAGATACATTCTTACCAACAATGTACATATATTACATAGCGGATGTCAACGAATCCATTAGAGGAGCAATAACATATGGTATATGAAGAGGAACGATTTCGCTTATTTTTCACTCCCCAGTCTTTTCCGGTTTCACCGATAATTGCTTCGGATTTGAATTTTCAAACGGAACATCTACTATAGTTTCACATTGTTTAATTCCTGATACAATTCTGGATAGATATGACATTTTCAGAAGTTTTTACGCCTAAACTTCATATTTTTAGAGTCACTTTCAAAATTTCATCTAGTTAGCCATGATCGGACGTGAACTTAAGTAATGACCATAGGTGATGTTAGAAAATTATAAAGTTTTAGTGACTAGTATGATAGGTAGCGAGAGCACAAGTTGACAAAATTACATTATATCAACCTTTTCCAAATGGCAACCATTTTATGACAAGCACTTTTAGAAAAGAGTTCTGCTTACGAATCTAACGATACTAGTTTATTTATACTATTGGATTGAAAGTACTGGATAGTTATTCATTCACATTTATTTTGTCAAGTATGCCATGGATAGTTATGATGCATATTATTTTGCATTTATTTTTTACGAGGATTCTTTGGAAAAAAAAGACACTCAGGTAATGATAGTTGCATAAGCCTGATGAACAGACAGTAAAAGTTTCTTCATTTTCGTAAAATTTCAATTCTATTTTTTGTCAAAACAATATATAATCAAAGTGAACAAAAATAACAGCAAAATATTATGCATCATGACTATCCATGGCACACTTGACAAATATGAATAAATAAATATCCATTATTATCCTCTGTGATATTTTTATATTCTTATTTTCTCCAATCGCAAATAAATTAGTATCGTGAAAAAATCCATTTTTCGGAAAGTGCTTGTCAAAAATGGTTGCCATTTAAAAAATAATAGTAAGACACGATTACCACAATTTTGTCAACTTGGCTTCTTCCTATCTATCATACTAGTCACTGAATTATTATTATTATTATTTTCTCAGATTACTTGAGGTTTACGTTCGATCATGGCCACCCAGATGCAATATAAAAAGTGACTATAAAATTATGATGTAGGCGTGAAAACTTCTGGAAATGTCATATTCTGATGCAGAATCATCTGAGGAATTAAAAAATTCCATAATATACAGGGTAATTTATTTAAGAATTCAAAACCGAAGCCATTTTCGGTGAAACCGGAAGTAACCGGAGGTGATGCGAAAACTTTCCTTTTTCCATACCATATAACCATATAACTATACTTATAGGAATGAAGCTCGATTCGATGTAGAAATTCTCTGATTTTCTGAATGTAAGTATATTCTGAATGGAGTATTCAGGAATAGTATTATTTCAAGAAAAACAATTAGCAATGAATTTTAATTAGTCGTTACATCTCTGGAACCTTCCCAGTTTCATATAAGATAAATTCCTGAGTTTATGACCGAGAAAATATATGAAATTAGAGTTCGCATCAACATTTAATGGGGCAAAAAAATCTCCCCTGATAGCGACAATGTCATATTTCAGAAAGTATATAATCCTAAATCGAAAAACTGTTCAGTGATTCACTAAGTAAACAATAACTTCCAAGGAATTTGCATAAAATTTAACGGAATCCGATTATAATTTCGCAACTTCTCATAACATACAGTATGTACCGAATCCCAGTTTACCGGATGTCAATATTTATATAAAGAAATAATATAATAGACAATAATATGTATGACTATACGGTAATGAATACAAATCAAGTGCATCGACTGATATGGAATTCGACATAATTGCTGGAGACTATCATTCAAGAAGTTGGTTGACTATAACTTCTCAGAATATCAACATGGGTTCCGCAAGGTAGCATCCTAGGACCTCTATCGTTTTCATTTCATTGTATACCTTCAACTTTTGAACTTTTTTCTCTTGTTCACGCCATTTCTACACAGATGATGACACGCAGATGTATTCTGTCCTTTTCACAGATGAAGCTCCTCAGGCAGCTGCAGCTATCAACTATGGTTTGCAAAGTATACTTAAAATGTAATGTAAACGATAACACTCTATTTTTCACTAGAGATGAAAGAGAAACCGTTAATTACCTATGCTAAGAAGCTACACTTAATTTATCAAGCAGAAATATGGATTCTGCTGACCCTGAACTTTGCACCACGCATCTTCGCGTCTGTGTATTTTCTGTGAGGATATGAGTTCATGCCATCACATTATATAAGAAATAAATGAAACATATTGCACGTAGTTTCTCATGAACGAATAAAACAATGAAATATGATACCGAATATACCCGTATTCAAGTAATCAGTTCAGTTTATTGTTTCGACAAAAAATAGCAGATGAATCAAGGAACAACATTAATATACCTGTAAAGAAAATATGTGATAGATTTTGAGCCAATCATTACTCACGAGTAGGTCAATCGGCAAAAGTACACGAAAAAAAAAAACAACTACAGACAGAGCTTCCACAGAAAAAGTTCCTGAAACACTCGATAGCTATCTATTCGATCTAACAAATCGCGCTCATATTGAATCCACATAATTCTTTTCATCATTATGGTACATATGATCTTGTATTCTCTGTGTATATATGTTTGCCTTGATGATGTTGATATTCCTTCTGCATGTTAGTACTCAAATCAAACTATTCATGCATTTGATAACTTTAGTTTTGTTCAGAATGTTTATACTTCGCTGATGATGAGTCTACATCGGCTCGAAACATGTTCTGCGTGAAATTTTTTCTTTATCGCTTGAAGCGCACGAAAGGAAATTCCTATAATGTTCAAAGAACATCGTGCGTTCCTAGGGTGGATAGGCACAGGAGGTAGGTATTGAAATGTTTTTTGAACTTCTGGAGATTATATGATGTTGGGAATACTTCCTCAAGCAATGAATTTCAGAGCCTAGCCATTCTATGGATGAAGGAGTTTTGATAAAGTATTGTTCGACATCTTTCGAGGTTGACTGGGCTAATTATGAGTGGCTGTCAATATGACTTGGTAGTTGTCTATTATTCTTGATCAGTCATACTTGTACGAAAAATAACAATATTTTTCACCTTATTTTGACTTGGAAATTATATTTCCACTTGTTCCAAAGTGTGGAACATCAATATGAATATATGGAAATTCCATAAATTCGAAAGTAGTTATACCTATACGAATACTGATAGTTTTAGTTTCAATGATTTCCTGACAAAAGAAGTGAGTACTAGTTCATTCAAATCTCATTATTTCGAGTGTGCTTGGAAACAAACATTAGATATTCAGTCACAGAGAGTACTCACAATAGAGATGTTCTCAAAGTTGTTAATTCAGGGAAAATTTCGTTCCCAAAATTTAATAATTTATTTTGTTCACGTTCCTTGCAATGATTTCAACTGAATGACAATGTTTTCTAATTTATGAAGTTTGTTCTGCGCGTGGCTCGATTTCCATCATTCCAACAGGAAAATGTTGATTTTCGACTACGTTGTTCTCACGTGATGACAACCTTTCATTTCTTTTCCCACTTCCGCTTTCACCGTCTTCAGTTAATTTATTCTGGAATTTTCAATTAAATGTGCAAATACGACAATTCTTGTGGCTTTGCCATTCTGAAACAATTCCAGTTTCTGTAATAATTTTCATCAAGAAATATCGCAACACGAGCTGATAAATTTCTGCTTCGATTTCAATAAACAGAGTGTATGTAAAAGGTTGGGACGAGGCTCGGCTGTGGGCTCCTGGGATAAAATCGAGTTGATTTAGGCGAACTTACCTATATCCAAAATCGTCTTGTTGAGTTGGTACAAGGTGTTGAAGTTTTTTTGGAGAAAAATGAATTCGCTCATACCCCTGAAAAGTTATCACCAAATTTGTACGGCAACATGGTTGTTCGAAACACTTGCAGGTCACTGATGATGATCAAAAACATATCAAAACGTGACTTACACTCACAGAACTTGCCATGCCAAAAATTATAAAAATCGATCTCAGCGTACTCTTTTTATGAGCAAATTTATTTTTTTCCTCAAAATCTTCAACGCCTTGTACCCAACGAGAGGATTGGATATATAAGTAAGTTGGCCTAAATCAAATTGTTCTTATCCCAGAAGTCCACAGCCGAGCCATGTCCCAACCATTTATAGACACCCTGTATATTTAATAGGGAATAGTGTATAGAATGTCTGAGATCTATCTTAATTTCTCGATTTCTTGCAGAAAAAATACTGTTTTTCTTGTGACGGGAAGAAGTTTGGCATTTCATCTCTGTTGGCAGGTTATAAAATGTCACTTTTCATGAATTAATTTTTTCCCGTGGGGAAAAAAGTGAGTACTTTTTTCCCGGATATATATCATATGTATATACACTATTGATTGCTTTTGTTGTGCTCTAGTTCCGAAAAAGGCGTCAATAATACCGTCTCCGAGAAAGAACTGCAAGTCCTTTTATCTTCCATTCGACTTCGCGGTTACGTATTTTACTAAACAACCACTAAATTAGCGATTTTTTAAAATCAAATCACAGAATTAGACTGACAGAAGTGACATCAGATATTTGATTACTTCAAAAGAATGATAAAGATGCCTACAATGCAGGTGTCCCTACTAAACTTAAAATTCCACGTCGATAATTTTCAGATTTCAAAATAATGTAATATCTTCTCAATATTAATTCGTCCCTGCTTCTGTCACAGAAACAAATAGTGTATTATACACGGGAAAAATATTAGATTTTAGCTCACGGGAGACAACACAACCTGGAGCTAAAATATACTACTTTTTTCCCTTGTATAATAAATAACTATAATTCTGTGACGGGAAAAAGAATTGACATTTGATCCTAGTTGACAGGTTATAAAATGTTCCATCTCATAAATCACTTTTCTCATTTGGGAAAGAACTGAGTACTTTTTTAAGGGGTATATGAATATATATATCCAGTATATACATATATACACTGTTGATGGCTCGGTTACTCAAATTCCTGATCAACCACTAGGTTCATTATTTTCCAAAATCGAATCACAGAATTAGACTGCCAGATATTTGATCACAGCAGAATGATGAGGATGCTCCAAAAAGATGCTTGTAACGCAGATTTAATTCCTGTTGAAAACTTTTATCTTTTATCTCCCACTTCATATCGCGGTTCCGTAAATCACAAAAAACAAAAAATGTTTTCCCTTGTATATAGGGTGTATCTGAATAACACCGAAAAAATTCAAGAGGTGATTCCTTGTGATATTTTGGGAAATAAAGTTCATATAAACATGTGTCCCAACTTGCTTCGTTTTCGAGATTCAGGGTATTGATATTTTAAAAATATTTTTTCTATTCATTTCTCAATTGTCTTTTCATCAATTTCAATAAAACGTGATTTCGTAAATAGTATAATATGGAGCTGTTCCTAGTGCAATTAGATTCGAGATAATATTTCCAGTGGCGTCACAGTGGGTAAATTTATCGATATTCATGGTGAATGTCAATGTGCACCACCGGTTTTTCTGAGTTTCTTATTTGAAATATTGAAATAACAATTTTTTATCCCCTGTGTGGATAAAAACTCGATTTAAGTCCAAATTTTAATGTATATAGGTGTATTCAACACTTCAATTGAGATTAACCCCAATCAGAATCATTTTGTAATTTCGCGGCTTTCTAGTGTCTATCCATACTGAATTTTGGCACCATGAAAGCTCATAAAGGGGGGATATAAATAAAAACAAAAGTTTGGACACAAATTTATTCGGTGATATTTAGATACCTGTATGATAAATAACTATTCTGGGTATGCAGATAATTATTTCGTTATACCTACATTGCTTTCGATATGTCATTACAGATCATGAGACATATCTGTGATATCCGCACATATCAATATAGGATTGTTCTGATAATTACAACCATGATTGAAGCAATACAGAGTGATTCACTCAGAATGGGAAATCTCTGGACCGCATCAGATAGAAAACACTTAAATATCAAAATTATACCCAACATGCCTTATAGAAATGTTGCAGATACAGAATGTTTAAAGGAATATTTCATTTTGATTCTTTTTTATAGATTTGGTCGAATATTTACTTCGAAATTTTGTTTGTTGTTGGTGTTGTTCGTGATTGTCATAATTGATCACTGTCTGTTTTTCCACTGTCAGATTGATAACTTTATAATTTGAAATTATTGGGATGTTAAAAGTGAAACATAAATCTCTTCAAGAGCGAATAATGCAGAAACCGTTAGAGCTACACATTTCGAAAATGAGTACAATTTTTATGTGAAATTGAACGGGCTTCCATTTTTAATGAACAAAGAAGAAATTATATAATTTACCGAAGTAACAGAGTGCCACTATGAGCCCTCTATGAGCAATCACAAAATGAGTTTAAAATTCGTATTGTCAGAAAACCTGAAACTACAAAGTTACATGCTCATGTTGTTGGAATTTTCGAAGTTATCTCCGCTAAAATAAAAACACCCTGTATCTCCTAAATCAGCAAAATTCTTATCACGCATGTTAGGCTGGATCTTAATGTTTTTGTGTTCACTATCTGTAGTTCAGTGATTTCCTATTCTCAATGAATCACCCTGTATATGTGTATTTCGATGCCTATAAGAAGCAGGGTCGTATTGAATATCAGATGTTGTTTGGGCTACTACAAAACACTACATTGCGGGACACAATGAAACATGTCACATTACAGCCATATTGGTTAGTTATCAGTATTATTATACATTGATAATAGACGAGATAATTTTATGTCAATCCATTCCTAGAAATTCCAACGCAAATTTGAAATTGTTCCTAATTAAGTAGCTGAAATTATCTAATGGAAATGTACTTGCTTTGTTCCCAGCAACGTCAAAACAAATATTCTAAATGAAAAGAACCAAGCAGCAATTCATCTGGCGACGGAGCTGAACAAGGTGGCCGTTCTGGAGGTGATGGCCCGCCATAAAGACAAAATTGACATTCAACAGGGTGGAGAACATGGCAGGACGGCCTTACATATCGCCGCCATTTACGACCACGAGGAATGCGCTAGGACCTTGGTGAGACTATGTTTAGCTCTTTTTTCCTCATCAAAGTCATTCACAAAGTGGTTCATTTTTGTTCGAAGATAGGGGAAGAGCACAAAGTTAGCTAGACAGGGTGGCATTTCTGTAGCGAGCTTCCAGCATCGTAATGCCCGATCTCGGCATGTATCGAGCAGTGTTGACAACAACGAATTTTGTGAACGGCAAGATGTATGTTATGCGAAATATGACGGAAAACTAAAGCGAGCCGCAGGCGAGAAATTCTTCAGCTATTTTTTGGCGAATCTAGCAATTTTTTGCAATTTTTCTAGCAAAAACAAGAAATCTGACCATGGTCTACGAATCTGGCATACAAATTTAAAGTCTATAGCTTAGCTCTAGAACTAGATTCTACTAGTCTACTAGATAGTATTGTCAATGTCGTATGACGTGATATGTTGACGTCATTGAAGTCATAGTCAGTTTGTCAAAATGGCACAAAGCATGGAGTTCAAAATCCATAAAAATACAGACTAATCTTTGGTAAAAGTCCATGGTTTTCCCAAAAGGGAGTCAAGTATCAAATACTAAATGATACACGAAGTCATCCTCAGGACATTTGATGTGATTAACACATTGGAACATTTACAGGGTGGTTCGAGATTCAGAATTCTGATCACCCTCTATCTGTTCCAATTATTAAATGTCAGAAGATAGTAAATCAAATGTTAAGATACGAACATGAAAGCCGTTTTGACCGATAATGAATAGTTTCGTCACAAAAAAATCCTAAAGTTGAAAAATCTCGATTTTGAACACCCTATATCTCTGTAATCATTCCCGTTAAACCCGAAGTGTGATATATTGATGAAATCAGCTCTTCAGGAAGAATCTAAAAATACAATGAAATACAGGGTCTTCCATTTGAAAAAATCAAGTAGTACTCTCTAGATCGATTGTTTCGAGCACCCTATATTTTCTGATGCAACGGGAAAAAAAATTCTGAAAAATCATTTCAGATTATTTTTCAAATTTTTGAATCGGTTCAAAAATAAGTGAGCTAGAGGGGGGGACATTTATGGTGAATCACCCTGTACATGTTTCGGACACTCATATGTCTATCATCAGCCTTATGAGAAATTACATAATTAGTGTCATGAAGATAAAAAAAGAGGTTATTTGACCAACATATTTATAATATTTCTCTGTTTGGGTTTGAAAAAAGAAAATTATTAAAATGGGGAAACTCAACAAACCCCTAGAAATCAAATATTGTATGGTATGTACCAAGAATATAACAATAATATTTAGTGAAATTGGATTCCAGTAGTAAAATGCCATTATCGATAGAACTGAAGGATAAAAATCAGCTGAGTCTACAGTACCTTTCGGAATATTCTCCAGAATTTACTAACGAGAGTGAAGATCGCGTCAAAGTTATCCGAAAAGTTTTAAGCTAGGGATTGGTCCTCAATCTTGGTTCATTAACCGACCCCTATCGAAATCAATGTGAATACTTTCAAAACTATTCAATTCTCTATTGTTTGCAACATATTTAAGGGGTCTTGATTCATTTGAATGTATTATGAAGTGATTGTGACTCGTCTATAACATGTGTTGGGCAACATTTGATTGATCAATTGATAATATCACAAGATGATTTTTTTCTCTGTTTTTATCTCAGAAAGAATCTACAAACATAGACAATTTTTTCCATCCAATCCTAAAATGGTGTCAAAGTGAGTAGTTCTGCTAAATATCTATTCTTCATTAACGTGGTATCCAGATTCATTTTTTGGCGAAGGCGCGAACATGGTGGACGACGTATAGTTCCTCCACCAAAACTATGAAGTGGGTTAACTGCGCACTGCGCGACATTTTGTCACGATTTATGATAATAAATATATGTGAATTAGGATCCAGACTTCTTTGGGTAGTTACTTATACCTTCAATACTTCATTCGCTACCATGGAATACACGGAATACGAATACAAGAATAAATCAACTGATACAATAAAAAGTGGAAAGCCAAAACATGTGTATCTGTTACACTGTTGAAATAGAACAATAATAATTGTGCCAATTGAGCTTGAGAGAAGATGCATCATGATGTCAAACAGGATAATCCAAGTTGTATAGATATTAGAATATCTTCCTATATGACAAACATATTATTCAACATAGATATGAAATTAATGATCAGTTGGCAAAATGACTGTGATAAAAATTGAATCTTATTTTCATTTTTTCAATTGAGTCGGCGGTTACTTGATGGATATCCATGGCAAATGTAAAAACTTCACACAAAAACTACATAAACAGGACATAAAAGTGGCATATAGAACAAATAACACGTTGGGACGGTTTATCAAGAATAATAAAGACAAAACTTCTAAATTCGAGAAATCAGGGGTATACAAACACAACTGTGGATCTTGTCCTAAGGTATATATCGGTCAGACAGGTCGTACGTTTGATCAGCGCATTCATGAACATAAGATGAATCTTATGAAAATGAAAACAAATTCAACCATATATCAGAAGAAAGCCATAGTTTTGATGATAATTTCGAAATTCTACACATAGAAAATAAAGGACTGAAACTCAATTATTTTGAATCATTAGAAATCACTTAATGATCAATTAGACCTCAATAGTTCCCCACTGTTGGATTTGTTTTCTTAGTAAGTAATAATATGTATTTGCTATCAACTCTTTCAAGTTAATCCGTTATACCGTATTTTAATGTAAATATTGTGCCTAATTTCCGAAAATGGAGGATTATCGTACCTGTCCACAGGTAACCAATCCTACAGGTTGGGAAAGTAGGATATATAAAAGTCAAGCAAGCCAACGTCAGTTTACTCCATTGTACCAGTATATCACCTGAAGAAGCTACTGTGTTAGCGAAACAGGTCGTGTGTTTGAGAATTTTGTGGAAATCTTATCGTTTGTGAAGTTTTTACAAAAATTCTATCGTATGATAATCTCATTCTGATTTCGCGTATAGTTTGAATCGTGTTCCAAGCAAGAATTTCAATTTAATTCCGTCTAGTTTCCACATGCGACATCTCTGAAATTCCCTAGTGGCTCCTCTTTGATCTTACAAAAATGATTCGAAACATATATAACCAACTCATTCATATTCAAATGCCTGATGACTGCTTAGATATCCCTTCAAATCAGGCAATCAACTAGATATTCGATAGGAACATGATTCGAGTCAGAGCCATTCAATCCCTCAAACACAATCTTCAGTCTACAGTTAGAGCATCTACCGTGAATACAGTTTCGATTAAGTGGTAATTAGAATTCCGTACCTGAATTATTAGAAACTCTATCGAATATTGTACACACTATGAGTGTTGAAAATATCTTATTGCTTCAAACATGGAGAAAGTAGAGCGATTAGCTGCATTTTTGATATACATTTCCCAAAACAATCATCAGTAAATTTATACAGACCTATATAGACTCGAGATATGTTGTTCCAATCATCTGGATAATGGAGTCCATAGTTTACACAAGAAAAAAATACTATATAAATATCAAAAAAATCATTTTATATAACACAATATCTTCTCGCTATTATAGCGTCAATGACAATTTCTGTTAATACTATAATCCATTTCTTTCAAAATCCCAATAAGGATTTGTTAAAATTCAGAGAGATCTCGGTATTTCGGAAAAAAAATTCTTCAGTTGTAAGGAAATTTGTTTTTCCCAAAACCAGAATATATTTTTCTAAAAGTCCAAGAATGTTTTGATGATAATAAAAGAAATTTCCCATGATGTTACAGAATATTTTAATCATATCTGAAGAAATATCAATAATCACCAAAAACAGTTCTGTACACTCGAAACAATAATGCTATAAAAGTATGAAATAGTTTTTAACGAATATGGGTTTGCACAATGAAGTTCAGTACAGATAACACTACCAATGAGTATATCCATATTCTTCCTAAATTTGACAATCTAACACCAGGTCCAATTGCGTTACGCAGATAGTATCGTATGAATCTGTAATCTGTATATCAGTCACACCACTAGGCTGTTAAATATATCTTATGAAAGAGAATATGATTTTTGAAAACAATTTCATGCAGCCGCAACAGAAATCTGGACAGGATGTCAATTTATTTTATTGATAGACCGTATGTTCTAGTATATTCTGCTACAAGTTCTGTAGATATAAACGGAAGAATTATTTCTTTCTTAGAGAATATTCCTGCAGGATTGAAGGAGCATTGATGAAAATGAAAAATGGGTTAGAACTCCTTCCGAAATTTCCACGGAATAATCATTTCTCTGAGGCGCCTTGGTGTTTTTCTGCCAATAATCAGTATGATTTTCGAGAGAACTGAAGGAGTATACAGATTGGGACCTTAGAGAGAACCAGTGACGAGACCTGGGAAGCAGGCAGATTGAGACCCCGGCGTCAAGTCACATACCGTCAGTGAAATTAACTGAGGAGTAGGCAGATGAAGACTGAGACTGCAGGGCAAAAATCACTCTCTATATTTTCCTATCATCCTTCAGTTTTGAGAGAAGATAAGGATACGAAGACATCCTTATCTTGGATCTACTGAACACGCAATACAATCTATCACCGATATAACTGTGTGAATAAATCCAAGCTTTCATTACTACCTGACTAGTTTGAAAATATAAAATTTCATTCTGAAAACACTATAACGCCCTGATGCAGTTCAACTTCCTGTAGTTCCTCAACAAATCCTATACTAGGGGTGTTCATGTACAAAAACAAATATGTTCTTGAAATTTCTAGAGGAACTGCCTTTTTCGAAAGAAAAATTATCACCCTGTAAGGAAAGTTCGCAAACTGCTGCGAACTAATATGTCTTTACATACCTGATGGTATTCATAGACGACTAACGATTCTGATGAAACGATTGTTCATGAGTGAGAGAGATGACTCATTGTGGTAATAGAGTATGACAAAGATGGTGAATGAAGAAGAGATGGAACTCAAATGATACTTGTATAACTGTGAAATTACTTTTAAGATTCAAATGATTATCTTTTGATTTCATCAATGAGGTAACCTTTTCAAAAAAAAAGAGTGAATTGAGAAGATGTCCTGTTTCACGTTGTAAATGTTGACTTTTCACGTTCATCAGATGAAATTTCGTGGTAAAAATGTTTCATTAGTAGTTATAAGATGTTTCTGGATAGAGACTTGCATGACTGGATTTTTCTTGGTGTACCTACCTTCCCTCTCAACCCTTTCAGAAGATAGAAGAAAAAAATCAAAGCTTGCAGTCGTATACGTTCTGATTAAAATAATTCATCAGCTCTTGGAAAGTCATCAACGTTGGGCTATTTGGTTTCATCTGAAAGTGTATACTGATGTTCTCAAGATTTGATCTATCAAAGATAGATGATACGATTGAAGTTTTTTTTTTCACTCAATCGGATTATTGATATAAATGATCGTGATTTAGTTCGAGATAAATATCCACTCGGATTTGTCATCGAGGAGATAGTACATGAAAAAAGGCTTGAAGTTTCAATTGTGATCGAACTTTAGTCAAAGGATGAATATGGGTACTATGTACCTAACGATGTACAAATTTCAAAGTTTCATTCCCCACAACTACGTTTCATGATGAGCGCCAAACCCAATATTGAATTGAAGTTCCTCCGAACGTGACGTTTCATCCAAAACTTCGCAAGTTGTAAGTTTCATGATCGCACTTATGGATTTCAGAGTATTCGACATGGACAAACAAGTTAGTCTCTGATTCTCTGAAGAATATTCAGAGTACATTTTTTCTAAATTTTTTTTGATCTCTTGGAGCACCCCATATTGTTCGAGGACCATTGTGGACATCTAAGAAGGATTAGAAGATAATGGTATAGGTATTAGCATTTTTTTTGTACTAACAATAAAATCTAGAGGAATTCATCACCTTGATTGAATGAATCTACAGGCGGTATTTGATTGAATTGTCCCTGTGGAAAAAATTAATAAACTGCTCCACATATGAAGTGAGACAAGCAAAAACTTCTATCATTTTCGAACCGTCATAACTTTGGAGTGGATCAACCAATTTTCAATTCCTTTCAAGATTCTGATAGCTCATTCCATTGGGTACAACGTCAGTATTTTTTGTTATTCCACCTTTCCGACATGAAGACCTACTGGGTGATATCTAGAAATGTGATAATTTTCGAATAGTTTGGTATCACCCCGTTTCACCGGGAATTTTTTTATGTTTTATTGAAGGCGATAAAATGAGGAACGATGAGTTTTCTCGAAATGGTTTTCAGTTCAAGAGGATTCATACAGGATGTTTGAATGTCTGGAATTTTTCACAACAGATTGCATTCTGATATGTTCAACCACCATAAACTCAACTTCAACAGAATTTTTCATTGTCATATCTTCAACGTCATTACTAAACAATGTGTTGTACATTTTCGAAAATAGGGGATGTAGAAATAAATAGAAATATCACGAACAAAATGCCGTTAATAATAATTATTAACACAATATTTATAATGAAAAAATGATGAGTATAAAAAATTGACATGGGGTGGTATCATGATGAATCGTTGCCCCACGTTGGATATTTTGAGAGAGAGTATGAATACTCTTCGGTATCAATAAGACATTCATTGTGTTAGGGAAGTTGTCGTTCCAGTGGCCCAAAACTTTTGGTGATAATTTCATACTGGTTGATAATAATGATAATGAACTACCACATCGTGCGAGACTTGTCACTGGAGTTTGAAGACAACATAATATTGCTTGCTTTTTCTCTGTCACACGTCTTATTGAGCATATGAAAATTTCGAACGAGAATATCTTCGTAATCGTTCGAAATAACTCTCTCAAACCCAGTATTGTTGAATTCGTTATGATAATCTCTAACCACATATGGAATGAAATACAGGATGTACCATTTGAGAATTGAAAGATGGGGTCGTTTCTGGTCAAATCGGGAAGAGATGGGAGAGTATGGAATTTCGAAAAATTGACCAATTCTCGAATTCTACACCCCTGCCAAATTCGAATCTCATACCTCTGGAAATCTGGAAACCATGGTTTGTCTGAAAAATTCGATGATACCCGGTATGTTTGAAAATGTACAACACATTGTATAGTGATAGCGTTGAGCAGAATAAGCTAATCAAAAGTTCTGTTGAAGTTGAGTTTAGTTGGTTGAACATCAGAATGCAAAATATTGTGAAAAATTCCATGTATCACAACTTCCTGCATGGATCTTACAGAATTGAGAAGCATTTCCAGAAAACTGATTATGTTTCATCTTATCGCACTCAATGAAACATAATAAAAATCCCTGCCAAACGGAGCGATCTCAAACTTGCCGAAAATTGCAATATGCTGTGAAAAATTCCATACATCGAAACATCCTGTATGAATCCTCTTGAATCCAGAACCATTTCGGGAAAACTCATTGTCCTTCATTTTATCGCCCTCGATGAAACTTAAAAAAAATTCACGGTGAAACGGGGTGATCCCAAACTTTTCGAAAATTATCACATTTTCAGATATCACCCTGTAGGTCTTCATGTCGAAAAGGTGGAATAACAAAACAGTACTGACGGTTTACTCAATGGAATGAGCTATCAGAATCTTGGAAGAAATTGAAAATTGGTTGATCCAATCCAAAGTTATGACGGTTTGAAAATGATAGAAATTTTTGCTTGTCTCACTTCAAATGTGGGGCAGTTTATATGATGAATAAACTAAATATTCTAAAACATATAGAATGCAATTCAAGTGGTAATAGGGAGTCTGAAAATGAGAGAAGTTGTAATAAATGGAACAAAATCACGTAGAAGGAATCGTTTCGGACTTACAGAACGCATGTAAAAACTTCACAAACGATAAGATTTCCACAAAATTTTCAATCACACGACATGTTTAGCTACCACAGTAGCTTCATCAGGTGAAATACTGGTACAATGTAATAGACTAACCTTGGTTTGCCTAACTTTTATATATCCTATTTTCCCAACCTAAAGAATTAAAATTACCTGTGGAAAGGTTCGATAAAACTTCATTAAGAATACCGCATTAACTTGAAAGGGTTGAAAGCAGATACAAATTATTACCTACTGAGAAAACAAATTCAACAGTGGTGTACTATTGAGGTCTAGTTGATCGTTAAGTGGAATAAGAGTTTTATTCCCTTATTTTCTGCGAGTAGAATATCGAAATCATCATCAAAACTATGGTTTCCTTCTGAAATATGGTTGGCGTATGTTGAATTCGTTTTCTTTTTGAAAACATTCATTTAATGTTCATGCATGCGCTGATTGAACGTACGAGCTGTCTGACCGATATATACCTTAGAACAAGATCCTCAGTTGAGTTTGTGTACCCCTGATTTTCAGAATTTAGAAGTTTAGTCTTTATAATGTTTGATAAACCTTCCCAACGTGTTATTTGTTCTATATGCTACTTTTGTGTCCTGTTTATGTAGAAATGAAGCTAATTTTTCAGTGGATGATCCGAAATACGTTGAGGTTCTATAATTTCGATTATTATTTCTGATGACTGGATGAACTTCTTGAATAGCTTTATTATGGAGTTCTTAGAAAGAATGCTGTCTATCAAATTCTTTTGATATGAGTCTCCGAATGCGCAACTTTTTCCCCATTAGACCGACTTCGTATTTCCTACCGTGTTCGAGATCTCCATGCTGTTCAACCTCATCTTGGACAGACTGTATTGGTGGAAAGTGTCTAATCTCCTATCAGTTCCCTTAAAGCATACTATAAAGTCATCTACGTATATATACAAAAATTTGTTTTATCACTGGATGTTTATGCATTACTTGTTCCAAGTTATCCATGAAAATTTCAGCAAGTAAATGGCTCAGTGGATTTCCCTTAATCAACCCTTTTGACACAGAATATATTTTTTTGTCAAATTGAGAGTACATTTGCTTGAGACATATCGACAGAAGGTCTAAAATATCTTGTTTGGTAATCGGATTAATATTGTTTTCATCTAATAACTTCTCAACTAAAATTTCAGTATCTTCGGACGGTATACTTGGGAATAGAATTTGTACATCGAATGGAATGAATTTTGTGTTGTCAGGTAGATCCGATATGAAAATATGAATTGAATGCGATAATTCCACAATTACAGATCAATTGGTTATCGTCTATTCTAGACCTACTTTTACAAAAATCTCTCTATTTTTTTATGGCTCTATCACATCGTGAAATGCACCCCACATATTATTCATGAAACCCTGGTAGCTGTTCCCTTTCTGTACTCCATTTTTAGAATGAAATATTTGGTTGAATCACTCCAAGTCGAATTGAAATTCTATAGGACTTATTCCTGATATGAAATCCACTTTTGGAATTCATTTCAGCAATATCGAGAAATTTTTTTATAAAGTAGGTAGAAAGGATTTTATTATATTGACTAGAGCAAAAGAATCTTACCATTCCAAATATTGAAGATATAGTGAGACCATTTTATCATTTTCATTCCAAAAATAATGATTGAGATTGAGTTGATAATCAATCTCAATTTTCATTTCCAGATATCTGAGTTTGGTGCAAGTCCCAAGAGACCATGCAACAACGGCTATTACCCCATCCACGAAGCAGCTAAAAATGCCTCATCTAAGACACTAGAAGTGTTTCTCCAGTGGGGAGAATCACTAGGATGTACCAGAGAAGAGATGATTTCATTTTACGATTCGGAAGGAAACGTTCCACTTCATTCTGCAGTACATGGAGGGGACAAGAAAGCTGTTGAATTATGCATAAAGTGAGTATCATTCCACATCAGTATCGATATCAATTCATATTCTTCATAAGAATTGAGATGGTACGTCATTTCGACTAGACTATAGATACTTGGAATCATTGCATGAAATTTTCCCTAAATTCTAAATTTTACCGTCGTATGAATGATGAAATGAGGAATGGAGATAGTGAAAATACTAGTGAATCATGGCACATCCGAAACAAAAGTTCGATACAATATTACCCTCATCAAATTGAAAAATATTGACAAGACACATCAAAATTAAAACCTTCTGAGTAAATGAAATTCAACTGAATAGAGTAAGTGATCTAGACATTCAATGAAACATGACTGATGCAGTCAAAGATTTCTGAAACCACAGCTGACAGTTTAACCATCGGAGTTGAATGGCAGCAATAATTCGGATCTATATCTTCAACCCCAAAAGAGAGGGAGACCGAAGAATATACTCCTAATGAGGAAATTGATTATAAAAAAAAAGAGAATGCAGTAGTTCATGGAAACTTTGGAGCTCAACCTATCACCACAAGATATGGAAGGAGAGTTGAGAATTTTCGAAAATTATTCAAAGTCGAATGAAATGGTCACAAAGAGGAAGAAACTCGCAACTTTATTCGTCTATACGAATCATTGCATAACTTTCGGGAGGATGTAATTCAATTCTGCGTGGGATATAGCCAGGAAAGTAGTTGTTTTTCTCTCGTTATCTTTCTTTCAAATTCTGGAAAAGGAATATTCTGTTGTGTTTAGAGAACATCGTGAGAACCAAGATAAATAAGGTAGGAATTGGTGTTCTTAAATTTCTGGGGGTTAAATGAATCAGGCAACACCTCCCTTGGCAATATGTTGCAGAGCCTCAATGTTCGTTGGATAAACGAGTCTTTGGAAAGAGATGTTCTGCAGGTCTCGAAAGTGACCACGGAAGGGTGCGAAGCCTCAACTCGACGTGTTAATCTCGAGGGTACTTCCAACGGAGGAACAATTGTTGATATTTCAGAAGAGTATCGTCCATGGATCTATCTATAGAATAGAGCCAGATGAAGCAGTGACTGAGTTTGTGAGCGAGGCATCACCCACGAGACGAATTGCCCTTTTTTGGACAGAATCCAACAGTTTCAGGGTATGTTTGTGTGCTGCACTCCAAATATGGAAACAGTATTCCAGGATAGGTCGGATCGGTGCCTTATAAATCATGAGCAGCTGAATGGAAGTGAAATAGCTCCTGGTCCGAAACGAAAACCCAAGTTTTGGGATGCACTTAGCAACTGATATCACGTTGCTTTCCCAAGAAAGGTTATTGCTGATAATAATACCAAGCATCGTAATGAATGTCTTCAAAGGTATGGTTACTCCTGACAAGCTTATGTTGGGCACAGTGAGATCGGCTTTTCTGGAGAAAAGGCTTGCTTGTGTTTTGTTTGCATTGAAATTTACCAAATTATTGGATACTTATTCGAGAATTGTTACCAAGTCCATATTTATGTTGTCAACATTCCTCCCTCGTTCGTTTCTGATTTGCTTGGCTGGTATTGGAGCCCTGGAAGAGAAGGCGGTATGGAGGGTACTATCATCCGCGAAGCTGGGGACTGGATATGTAGTTGCTTCCAACAAATCGTTAATATGAATTAGAAATAGTGTTGGTGCTAGAATTGATCCTTGCGGAACACCAGCATTTATGATAAGAGAGTCGGATGAAACTCCGTCGACCACTACATGGAGAGACCTGTTTGAGAAAAAACTAGCTAGCAGAGAGATCTGGGGAGGCAAGCCATAAGATGGAAGCTTGGCGAGGAGTCCGTGGTGCCAGACTTGATCGATGCCTTAGAGATAGATAGATGGAAGCCATATTGCCTATCGTTGATAATACCGGAATGTTCCAGGTATTTCATGAGCTCGATGTTGATAGCTTTCTCCATGATCTCTGAAATGATAGATAGCAGTGCGATCGGTCTGTTGTTGATGGTTTTGCCTTTTTTAGGAACTGATTGTACTCTTGCGATTTTCCAGTTGGACGGGAATATCCCCAATTCGTAAGAGTTGTTGAACAACAAGCAGAGAACAGGTATTAGTTCTGGAGCACATTTCTTGAGAACAATCGGTGGGATTCCGTCGGAGCCACAAGCTTTGTTGGTGTTGAGACCCAATAAAATCTTCCTTATAGTACGTTGGCGAAACGTGATCTCTGGCATTTGACTGTCAATTCGTATTAGCGGTTGTTTTCCCGATGAATCCAGAGTGGAATTTCCAGCAAATAAATGCACAAAGATGTTGGCTTTCTCCTGGGTAACTGTGGCTAGTGTTCCATCTTCTTTGGTTAGAGGAGAAAACGAGCTGGAAGTGGAGTTCATTCCTACAGCTTCGGCGAAGGACTAAAATGAACGGGATTCTTTAGGACATTCAACAAGTTTCGTTATCGTTCTCGTTCATTTTATGGAATAATGTAGTAATTACTTTGAGTTCCATTCTCTTTGCCTCTTTGTGTCTATGAATTCTCCTTAAAAATACTAATTTCGATGTCGCTTTCAATGAATATCATGCATCTACTCCTGAAAAAAATGAATATTCCAGATCTGGAGCGAAGATTTCCATCCAGCAGCAAGACCTATCGACCCCCGTGCATCTCGCTTGCGCCCAGGGCGCCATGGAGATAGTGAAGCTCATGTTCGAGATGCAACCGGAAGAAAAACTGCCCTGTCTGCAGTCCTGCGACGTCCAGAAGATGACGCCTCTACACTGCGCCGCCATGTTCGACCATCCGGAGATCGTGGAGTACCTGGTTTCGGAGGGGGCGGATCTCAACGCCATGGACAAGGAGAGGAGGTCGCCGATTTTGCTGGCTGCGCTTAGAGGAGGATGGAGGACGGTGCATTCCCTTATTAGGTTCGTATTCCTGAAACCTCCAATATATTTTCAAATATACAGGGTGTTGCGAAATTTGACTGTTTCACTGAGACATGGACATACGGTCTTAGTGTTCAGTTCTCGAGATACAGGACTTTGCAGTTGAGAAATTCAAATAGGTTTTTCGCAATATCTCAAGAAAAATTAAATATAATGCATTCAAATTCGGTATATGGTTTCATCTTTCAATGGTTGATTTTTTTTACTAGAAAGACATTCCGAGAATTCTACCCAGAGGTGCGCTACAGAGGGTTGTCATAACTTTTCCTCCCATATTTTCTACGCCACTGATGAAATTTCGATTATTTCCAATTTCTTGAATTGATTGATCAATAATGTTGAAAAACTGCATCATCTTCAACTGAGCTAAAATAAACAGTTATCGAGATATTTGACCCAAAATAGAAGTTTTCATAGAAATTTTTCATCTTCTTCAGTAGTACAAGATTAAAAAAATATTTGTTTTCTTTTTATGATGCGTGGAATAACTACTTCTGTTCAGCTACAGAATGAGATCTGAATAGTATCTAATCTACTCAACACCAAAAAAATTTTGTGGCCTATTTGATCAAGTAGAAAAACTCAAAAAGTATGGGAAGACTTGAGCAGACTTTTTTCACTCCCAAGGTGGAACTTTACGACCAATACTTACATTGACGAAAAAGAAAATAGGTATCGTTGAAAGAGTCCAAATGAAGATGTGATAATTAATTAAAAACATATATTATTCTGAAAACTTAATTTTTTTCCAGTTTCAATAGGCAAGAAGACTTTTTTCTAGAAAAAATTCTATGAGGCTCATCCCAATGAGATATGGCACAGATATTTTTTTTCAAATTTGTTATCATTCTATATTTCCAAAAATGATGTAACAAGTACTATAACACGCCGACCGTCTATTGTATAGGTTATGGAATTCGAAAATTCACTTTCCAACACCATCAATCAATCTTCTGAAAATTCGAGATCATGGTGTCGCTTTGTTGTTCACGCAATAATGTTGCCGAGCAACACCTCGAGTCAGTCAGGACGAGTGGTGTTGCTGTCCAACAACACAATTGAGTCAGCAATGAGAGACAGGATCATGAGAAAATATTCAGAACAGAGTGGTATTTTGCAAGACTGTCTCACGAAACAAAAGAATTCCCCATTCCGAATGATCAAGCCATATAATATAATAATATAATTATTTTATATCGATCTAGCGGAGTTTGCTTCGCTATCCATGGTTACATCGTTTAAAACAGCAACGTTGATAGACCAATCAGAATTGAAAGAGAGCTAGTGTTCTCACGATAATACAAGTTGTCTTTGACTTGCGATTGGTCAGATCAAGTGAGCATTTCAAGATGAGTGGAATAACCACTGAGATAGACAGTGCTGGCACTTGCCACTATCGATATATTGTACCTTGATCCCGAAAAATTGGAGAAACTTCAAGAAACAACTGAGAGAATTCTTGTTGAACTTCTATAGTATTCCTTGAATACGCATGAAAATATAAAAATAGTGCTGGTATTTATTTATGATACTCCAGTTATTTCGAAACTATACTTTTCCAGTCTGTGTCAAAATACTATCTACATATTCATATATATAACGAGGGAAGCTTTCGTGACTGTTCTATAATAATATTCTTGTAAATATTAGTGGGATGAAGTCTGGACCAATGAATTAATTAAATTTCTTCGTTATTTGTCGAGCTTTCGAAAATTTTCATTTTCTTCATCAAGACTAACTGGAAACATCGAATGGAACAATAATATTAAAATATAAATGTACATCAATTGAAATTGGTATACTCACAAACATGAAATTCTATATAAAATTAGCACAAAAAGGAAACATAGGAGTATAAATAAAATGAAATGATTTGACAAAAAAATGTCATAGATGATGGTTGACTCATTTGAAGATGTTGAATACAGAGTGAGATGAATACTGATATATATAAAATTACTGATATACCTATAAAAAATGTTTGTAGATTATATATAAAACATGAATCATTCAAGGAGGACGAGTTGATTTATTATCTTTTTGTTTCTTTAGAAGGAATGTATAAATGGTACTAAGATCGTTGATGTCTGTTCTTTTGTTCATCGTTTTATCATTTTCATTAATATGTACCAATTTTCGAAAGCTCGACAAATAACGAAGAAATTTGATTAATTCATTGGTCCAGACTGCATCCCACTAATATTTCCAAGAATATTATTCATATATATATATGTTGATATTGTTGTTTCCTTATGGGATAGGTATGGGTAGTTTTTCAATGATAGTAACTATAGGTGGAATCCATGTGGAGATAACAATTTTGTATCACTGTGTTATTCTGTTATTGAAAGGACTATTTATTGTTCCTGTGTTGGAAACCCTTGCACCCTTAATAATTAAATTAATGTATGATGAACCGCGTTGGTCTCATGGGCCCTATATACGGGCAACGGTCAGTAGCGCGCAGCGGTCAGAAATTTTATGAGGTAGTTGAAATTCTATGGGTCAATAGCGCGCGGTATACAATCGGTAAACCGGTCAATTGCGCGAACGGTTCCTTTATAGAAATATGCTCGTCTATACCCTAACATATGCCATAGGAAAACATCTGAATAGGAAACTAAATAAAATAGCGATTATAAGATATATTTTTTTTATTTTTTTGCAAAATTGAAACAAACACTTTTAATAAAATCAAATCTTTCAATATGGTTATTTACATATAAATTAATTAAATTTGTTACATAATCTTTGCGTTTTTTATACCTGATATTATTACAAGCTTTAGGCAGATGTACACTATTTATTTTAATATATGTATTAACTTGTACATCTTTTAAAACATTAATAAATTTGAAAATATCTGGATGCGCTACATAAAAACTGGAGTTGAAATGACTGTGGAATGATTCACAAGCATTTGTTGTACGTTCTTTATCACTATTACAAGAAGCCCACATTTCTGGAGGAAAAACTGAATCATCAGATATATAATTATCAACTAAATAATCAGCATATTCAATTAGTTTAGCATTCTGAGGTATATCTGGGTAAAGGTCTTCTACAAAACAATCCCCTACCTCGTTAGGATTTAGAAATAATAATCCAAAAGTGTAATGCAACCAAAGACCTATTGCTGAATTAGAATCCCTGTACTCAGATACCAACCCAACATTTTGAATTTTACGATACCAGGACTGGGTCAAATGAAATCTACACCCTATTATATTTATGTCTGGCCAAATTTCCTTAACTCCAACGTGTATCGCTTTTTCAAAATCACTAACGATTTCTTTAGGCTCCAAAGTTAAATTTATACTGGCACAATAACCTTTTAAAAGCTTAAATGCCTCAAAGTAAGTATTAGATTGTTTGTTTGGCAGTAAAATAAATACTAAAGGTATATAATGTCCGTTTTCTACTGTATGTATCGTAAATAATTGAGTTAAAAATTTGGGGCAATAACTGAAAGTTCCGTCTACATAAATTTTAGGTCGTGAACACAGATACTGTAAATTTGTTTGACAGGAAAATATTATTACATTTAAGTTCGTGTTATTTACCAATAAAAATTCTTCGTCCTTATTTGTTTTAATAACAATAGATTCTAGAGCTTCTTGGAGGTCTTCTAATGATTGAGGTAAAACTGGCAAAACGCTTCGTCTTGATCGATATACACTTTTTCTTATATTATCAAGGTCCCGTGTTGTGAGATTCACTTCTGCGGGAGCTTCTTTAAGCCCAGTATTGATGATCTTAGAAGGTCTTTGAGATATGTCTTCTACGGCCTTCCTTTTAATTCCGTTTTGTAATTTCTGTGAAACAACATCAAAATATATGAATAATATATATCTACTATAATTTTTGAGGTTTATAAGAGTAGTAAGAAATATAATTATTAAACACTTACCTTAACGTGTAAATTTTCATCAAAAGCGTGACTGTGATTGCCTTTTTGCTGTAACAACACCTTTTCTGATTTATCCACAGAAATCGAAGCTGGACATCCTCGCTTTGTACAGCGATATGAAACACCTAATATAGTTTCTCTATCTTTGCGAAAAGTATAACTTTTAACTATTAATAATTTTTTTCCGCGCTCACTTAACATGGTCTCCATTTCGGTATACTTTACACGTATGATTGAATAATGTAAAATGTAAGTGAGTAAATGTAATTTAATGTGTACTGAAAGACCTGCCCACCCCCTGCTATTAGGGACAGGTACTAATATCATGTACGCGCGCAATCAGCCCGTCCCTTATAGAACCCTTTTATAATCTGTATGGATTAAACTGACCGCTGCGCGCTATCGGCATACACCCCTATATACCTCACATTTTATATTTTTTTTCTCCGAAGAATATCCAAAAATGGTTTATTCATCATTCCGGCCCATATAAAGAACAATTTTGAAATCTAGCTTGACGCTCAACGTGTTAATGAGTGCGATTAATGTTCGAAATATTTCAACGTGCGAGCGAAACGAGTGCGGATCTCTGATGTCTGTTATCTCATTATGAATTATATGGGTTTGCTTAATACCACGCGAGGATAATAATTTGGAAATGACCGAGATACCTATAGTTAATTGATCTAATCAGCCATCCACCGATAATTTTCCAGAAGTTCTTGGAAGGCAAAGCTAATTATTTGAATAATTAAAATTGTTCGACGAAAAATACGATCTTCACTCCAGGCGTCTCGAGATGATTTCATGAAATTGAAAACTGATACTCGTTTCAGGTTAGGAGCCAATATTAATATCAAAGATGTGAACAAAAGGAATGTTCTCCACTTAGTGGTGATGAACGGTGGAAGGTTAGAACAATTTGCAGCAGAAGTAAGTGAGGTAAATATAGAACTTTTGTAACCAATCATGTTTATCTGAAGATCATTTTTCCATTCCAAACTTATGACTCGAATGGGTGTACTACTGTTTGAAGCATCAGACACAATAATTTTGATTCGTCGAGTGTTCAAATATGTATTTTCTGATTGAAATATACTATTGTGGTAGAGGTAACTAAAATGGTTACTACTCTTCAATACATTTGATGATGTAGTTTGCATTGGAATCAGGTTTTTCTAGATTAACGTACTAATTGAATATTTTTGTACTTATTATGGAAGAAATTGATGCATTGTGATTATTTGATGCTTATTCATATAATACACTGTTTGAGAATGGAATTCCGAAGGAATTAGAAAGTAGATGATTATAATGTTATCCTAAGCAATATTCACACCTTCATCCATTATTGTTACCAAACATTCCCATATTAACAATATCAGAAACAACAGGTATTATTGCTCTTTTTTTGCTATTGAGACATTGCACTCATCCAATTTCAATAAATATCTAAGCAATATGCTAGAAACATTTATTTTTCTCTCTATTTGATGAACAAATCTGGTTTGAAAATAAACATAATGTCTTCATTCTTCCATTGGTGTTAACACTGATTCTTGCTGTTTTTTCAGAATCAACAGCTTGCAATCATATCGTTATTTGGGTTTGGTAAATAATTGTTTATTCACATGTAATGATTACTCAACATTGATTAGTCTCAAGGTTACACGTGAATGAAATTTGAAATTATTAGATTGCATGTTTGTGAATCTTGCACCATAATATTGAATATAATATTTTTATTTCCTGAAATTCGATGGGTTCACTCGACTTCTGAGAACATGTCGCACATTGATGGTGTCTGCTTTCTAAATCACCATCACTGCAATAAGAGCTTGACCGTCCAACCGCGATTTGTTTTCTGAAGACGAATGTACATCCTTTTTGATTCAAAGTGAAGACTGATGATATGCGAGTTTAGAACTCAATATTTTTTCAAAAAATGGTTGTCTTATAATGATTATCTACAAGTTATTACATCACTTCGGAATACGTTGAATGAAGCTACTGAAACGTCCAATTCCTTCTATGATTACCTAGAAATATCATGTTCATCTGAGTATCCATGTTTATGGTATTTCAGATATCCTTATAATTTTGAAAACCTGATAGAGTGGATTATTCCTTATGGGGGCGCATAAATATGCGTACACCTATCCTTTTACAGATAGTGAATAATCTCTATATCCTAAACCATTTTTTCATTTCAATTCATGTTATAGTTGAACTCTCACTAGAATTGGAAGAAACTGCCCTGCATGACGAATGAACCACTTTTAAAAAATAGAATACGTAAATGCATGAAATCAGTAGGTACTCTCAATGTCCCAAAAATAGCAATTTACCTAAAATGTGGGTGTCCGCTAAAAGGAGGTCAAAACATTGCCAATATATTCCTTAAACAAAAACAATATGAGTTTCTAAATATCATTTTCCTTTTCAGCACTTTATATTCGATATACAGGGTGTCAAATTTGGAAATTAAAAACTGTCCTTTTTTTAATTACTCGCTTATTTGACAAGATACTGATCTCAAAATTGTTACATTACTTCAGCACAAAGAGTTACATCGTGTGAGGAAAACAAAACAAGAAATTAATGTCTAATATTCAAAATACTGGGGTCAAGTACACACTTATCCCCATATTTTTTTTGTACGTGCGCTAATGAATTTCTATCTATTTTTTTTAATCATTTTTGAGTATTTTTTGTCTCCTGTGAAATTTCGATGGAATTATTTGTTTTCAAGATAATTCGAAAAGTACTGGTTATTATTATTGGATGCATCATGAGATTACCATAAGCCGCATAGGCATCAAACAATAACCAGTACTTTTCGAATTATCTTAAAAACAATTGATTTTATCGAAATTTTACACGGGACAAAAAATACTCAAAAATGATTGAACACTTGAAGGAAAATAGAAAAGAAGTCAGTAGCGCACGTACAAAAAAAATATGGGGGTAAGTGTGTACTTGACCCCCAGCGTTTTGAATATTTGGCAGTTATTTTCTGTTTCGTTTTTGGCACACGATGTAACTCCTTGTGCTGAAGTGATGTACCAATTTTGAAATCAATATCTTATTAAATACGCGAGTAATTGAAAAAAAACTATTTTTAATTTCCAACTTTGACACCCTGTATATCCAATATGAACTTCTCAAATGAAAAATGGTATTGAGAAACTCATATTGTTTGTGTTCATGGAATATATGGCTAATGGATTGACCTCCTTTTAGTGGACACCCTGTATAATAAGAAGGGTGTGCGTCAATAATGTTAAAAAATATTTCGAGAACATATTTTTTACCTCAAAATGATGAAAATATTCATGAAGAAGTGCTGTAACTTTTGAATCACTCGAGATCAGATTTTGAACATTGGTGAGAAGCAAGTATACCAAATTGCTCATTGATTGACAAAACAATTTTCGTTCAATCATTCCTGGTTTCACCAGAAAGGACTCCATTTTTTGAATTTTTATTTAATCGGTTAGGGATGATCATAACGAATTAATTGATACCAGGTTTGATAAGATTATTTTGAACGATTACTATGATTTTCGCGTTCTAAGTTTCCATATGCTCAATGAGTGTGACAGAGAAAGAAGTTTCGATATTGTGAAGTCACTCCCATTGAGCATATGGAAGAAATCACCCTCACAACCGGTATTGTTGAATTCGTCATAATAATCCCTATTCGGTTATGGAATGAAATACAGGGTGTTCTTTCCAAATAGAAAAATGTGTTGTCGTTTCCGCTGGAACTGGAAGTGATTGAAAAAAATAGTTTGGCAATTTATGAGTCATTTGATATACAGGGTAACTCACGGTCGATGGTACGTTAGACGTTTATGGAGAACGAGACATAGGATCATTCTGAAATTTTGGTTACTCACGTAGTTGCTCTTGGTCTATCGATCTAAAATATCTTCAGCTCTGCGGCGTTGCCGCTTCTGTCGAAAAGTAGCAACAACTTTGTTATTTTAAATGGAACACCCTGTATTTTATTGCATTTTCAGATTCTCTCTCACACTTGGGGTCTAGCGGAAATGATTACAGAGATATAGAGTGTGAAAAATCGACTTTTCTCAACTTTGGGAATTTTTTTTTTGTCGAAACTATTCATTATTAGTCAAAACGGCTCACATGTCCCTATCTCAACTTTTGATCAACTATCTACTGACATTTAATTGGAACAAATACAGGGTGGTACAGAATTCAGAATCTTGATCACCCGGTATATGCCCCAATTAAATATCAGTTGATAGTTAATCAGAAGTTGAGATGGGGATATGTGAACCGTTTTGACCAATAATGAATAGTTTCGACAGAAAAAATTCCTAAAGTTGTAAAATGACGATTTTTCACACCCTATACCTCTGTTATCATTCCCGCTAGACTTCGAGTGTGATACATCGATGAAATCAGCTCTTCAGAGAGAATCTGAAAATGCAATGAAATACAGGGTGTTTCATTCAAAATAACAAAGTTGTTGCTACTTTTCGATAGAAGCGGCAACGCCGCAGAGCTGAAAATATTTTAGATCGATAGACCAAGAGCAACTACGTGAGTAACCAGAATTTCAGAATGATCCTATGTCCCGTTCTCCATAAACGTTTAACGTACCATCGACCGTGAGTTTCAGAATGTATACAGGACTTGCGATTTTGTGTGCACTTCTCTCTCTTTGTCCAGAAACGATTCATTTCTGTTCAAGTTCCTTTAGGAAAGTGATTTCATTAACCTTGAAACAACGCTCGAACCAATAGTAATAAAATTCACAAATCTCTTTAACACACCAGGTAGATCTTGGAGCAAACATCTGATTTGTCCTCACTAGACGTTTAATGAAATAATACTCATATTTTTATTTCATAGAAAGAACGAGAGAAAGTCCCCAAAAATATGGAAAAATTGTTGTGCCACCTCGTCAATTATAACTTACAGACAGTACCTATATATCCACTTGAGATGTCAATAATGGATGTGAGTTTGCTCGAAATTGGTTGAAGTCTTCTTATTTTGAATCAAAGAATTCTACCTCGAGGTTTAGTGCAACATTAATGGAATAACCTGTTCTTATATGTAATGTTGCTCTACAAAGGAAAATTTGAATGATGAGGGAAGACAATATGAAGCTTTTCGTTTCGAAATTTTCAGGCCAAATCGAAGGAGAGCCTCCTTCAGCTATTGAACGAGAAAGACATCACCGGGTGTTCGCCTCTACATTACGCCAGTAGAGAAGGCCACATCCGGAGTTTGGAGAACCTCATCAGACTAGGTGCCTGCATCAACCTAAAAAATAACAACAACGAAAGTCCCCTGCATTTCGCTGCGAGGTGAGTAAAAATGTCTTTCCATATTTCATGCCTTCGTCGTATGAGATGTGTTTTGTTCCTGCGCTGTTCGCTACTTTCAAGGAAATTGGCAGGCAAGGAAATTGAGTTAGCGAATATAAAACGGAATTTACTAACGGTTTCCCGAGAGGAGCGAGAGTTTTTAACCCAAAGCACGATTGGAATATGGTACAATGCAGCATCACTTTATCTGTTTGATCTTCAAGGAGAAACGCTTGATTTTTCATACGCTTTTCGATAAAAAGCAGTTTCAAGAATATATTTTGAAAATATGTTTCGATTGTGGCTAAAAGAAATTATTTGAGTGAAGTAGAAGCTGTTTTATAATAACTATTGGTTAGAGTTTCGTACTAAGGATGCCACATATCTTCTATCTCTTTTTCGATTGAAATGATATAGTATTGAACATAAATGGAGGACCTGGTCTGGTCTGGAAAGACTTGAATCAACCGGTATTTAAAAATGATGCATTTATATGATTATAGTTTTTTATGCAACGATCATGTATCAGTAGCCATTACAATATCGTTTCATACACTATTTCTTCTATAAATAATGAAAGGAACGCTTGATTTTCATACTCTTTTCGATAAAAAGCAGTTTCAAGAATATATTTTGAAAATATGTTTCGATTGTGGCTAAAAGAAATTATTTGAGTGAAGTAGAAGCTGTTTTATAATAACTATCGGTTAGAGTTTCGTACTAAGGATGCCACATATCTTCAATCTCTTTTTCGATTGAAATGATAATATATAGTATTGAACATAAATGGAGGACCTGGTCTGGTCTGGAAAGACTTGAATCAACCGGTATTTAAAAATGATGCATTTTAATGATTATAGTTTTTTATGCAACGATCATGTATCAGTAGCCATTACAATATCGTTGCATACACTATTTCTTCTATAAATAATGAAAGGAACGCTTGATTTTCATACTCTTTTCGATAAAAAGCAGTTTCAAGAATATATTTTGAAAATATGTTTCGATTGTGGCTAAAAGAAATTATTTGAGTGAAGTAGAGGCTGTTTTATAATAACTATTGGTTAGAGTTTCGTACTAAGGATGCCACATATCTTCAATCTCTTTTTCGATTGAAATGATATAGTATTGAACATAAATGCAGGACCTGGTCTGGTCTGGAAAGACTTGAATCAACCGGTATTTAAAAATAATGCATTTATACGATTATAGTTTTTTATGCAACGATCATGTATCAGTAGCCATTACAATATCATTGCATACACTATTTCTTCTATAAATAATGAAAGAAACGCTTGATTTTTCATACGCTTTTCGATAAAAAGCAGTTTCAAGAATATATTTCGAAAATATGTTTCGATTGTGGCTAAAATAAATTATTTGAGTGAAGTAGAGGCTGTTTTATAATAAATATTGGTTAGAGTTTCGTACTAAGGATGCCACATATCTTCATTCTCTTTTTCGATTGAAATGATATAGTATTGAACAAAAATGAAGGACCTAGTCTGGTCTGGAAAGACTTGAATCAACCGGTATTTAAAAATGATGCATTTATATGATTATAGTTTTTTATGCAACGATCATGCATCAGTAGCCATTACAATATCGTTGCATACACTATTTCTTCAATAAATAATGAAAACATAAATTTTTTTCGCACTTTTCATATTTCAACATATTCCAGCATCATCAGTCCTTGAATTGCCTCTACTATTGATGAGTTGTCATTGAATATCATTTGAAATTAAACGTCAAACAATTCAGGCAAGTGAGATAAGAAAGTTATGCTATTCGTTCGAAATCTGATTCATAATGAGAATCCGTGTTGAAATGAACATATTAAGAAATCGGTAGCAGTTATTTGATTCGAGTAATGATAAGGAAGTAGAAAAACAGATTGTTAATAACGACTTCCTTGACCTAACTCAACATATTCAACAACTCTCGATTACTTTGGATTCAAGTTTTCACTTTCTGATCATAGTTTACACTAAACTGGACATGAAACACTTGGCTCCTAGTCTGTATCTTGACTCCTCTCAGGAATTTGTTCTCATGATAAAAAATGATTATAAAAAAATCAAATTAATGTGGAATGAAATAATAACACTAATATTCGTCAGCTAACAGAAGTCAGAAGTTGAGGATCCATGATGCAAACTTTAACTAGATAGCTAAATTATTCATAGGAGAGTCGCCCAGAAAAGCATTTTGGGACCTATCATCCCTATTATCCTCGTGGAAGATCATTCAAATTGTTTTAGTAGGTAATGGTCAATCTAATCTATTTGCTGATAATCTTCCAGTAGCTGCATCCTTTATCAGTCATTAGTCGTCTATTTTTTTGAGAGTTCATGATGAAAGAGGGTCGCGAATAATTTAAAAATGAATATTCTGAAAACTGATTCAATGCAAAGATCTGCCGCACAATTTCCAATCTACACTACTAGATCTGAATCTTCATCGGTTTTCCAATGAGATATTGTCAACTTTCATGGATTTCATGGATTTTGAGGTAACTCGTAGGATAAAATATTATAAAATCTGATGCATATCATCACTCATTTGTTATTATCTTATGAAATAATCCGCAAAAATATAAGAAACAATATTAATTATTACTTTCAAATAGCAGAGAGCCCTTCGTAGATATCTATTCAAGGACTCAGGCATTCTTACAATCATTCTGAAATGTGTGATTTTTGTCGATAGTAATAATGACGACTACGAAAAAGCTGAAATGTTAAATAAATAGATAAAAAGCTCAAAGTCTTTTCCACAAATGTTTATAGAATGAACAAAAATGGTAACCAGGTGGCGCTCGGTTTTCATCGTTCCATGTCAAAGCCACGTCAAAACAGGGGGAAAACAAACTCAATCCTCACTCAATCCCATTAGAGCCATCAACTTGTGTACTGTGTACTGATAAAAGTGATGAGTATTCAAATTTCTTGCTATTTATTGTCAATATTCGATCGAAAACGCTGATAATACCTGTTGTACATGTTCTTTTGGCAGATATTTTGCTCTATTTGGATGGAAAAAGCCGACTAGTAGTGGAAGGAGAAGCAGTTCTCTGTGCTAATCATGTGATTTTGTGTGAGGCAGAAGACTTCAACAAAAGGCACATTTTTGCACTTTGTCTACAAACTTCGGCGATGAAATCTTCCCCACATGAAGTAAAATTGAAGTTGGGGTCCAGAGGAACTCCTGTAGAACAATGGATTTGTATTTGTTCATGCAAAGCAGGACAATCTGGGTATTGTAAACATGTTGTAGCTGTTCTTTTATATGTCAATTGATTTGCTCGTCATAATTATTTTGAATTGTTTGAACGTTCTCCAATTATTCACCTGATATTCACTGTTCACTAAACTAAAAACATGTAATAATATAAACGAATTAACCAACTCAACCATCATCACCACCAACAGTGCCAACACTTTATGTCATTGACAAGTTAGACGACAGCTACAGCAAGCTGAATGCAATGTAGTCTATGCACTTTATCCATAGACTACAGTTTGTTTTCCCCCAGTTTGAAATTCGTATTATGTAACCTAGATGTCGCCCACTTCGTGAATCTCGCGGATACCTGACTATTTTTGAGTTTGTTATCCTATTCGCGGTAGCAAAGGTCATCATCTGACGTTGGGATGACATAAGAACTAGGGAAAAACATGTCTGACTTTCAATCTAAGCCAGAAGTAGGGAATGTTTTTTCGTAATCTCCATGTCATCGCAACGTCAGATGGTGACCTTGGCTAGTGCCTACCGCGAATTGTGAAAGCTGGTGCTCGAGGGAAACGGGGTAGGTAGCATTGTTCAGTTCGAGTGCTCCAAGTTCTTTGCAATGGGAACAATGTTGATCAGCTCGGAGTAACTCGGTGCTGCTCGCTGTGGCAATTGGAAAGCGGCTCTGGTTACCAAAAACGCAAAACTGAACTGAAAACTAAGATGCCAACAGGTTTGGGCGCTACAACACCGTGAAGCAGCTAGTCGACTCTGAGAAAGGCACCTTCATCATCAACGAGAGCGATGGAGGAGGGCTCACGCCGCTCCACATAGCTTCGCAGCAGGGACATACCAAGGTGGGATTGTCAAAATGTCACTATCTTTAGTCTTGGTTTGCTCATCAATATTAACAACATTGTCATGGTAGCATATATCAACAAGAATGATATTGAATGGCGGGTTGGTGGGTTCTGTTCGAATCAAACCGTATACAGTGTGTCCCACTTACCATCATGCTCACCATGGGTATCTTTTTAACGGTGAGAGATACGAGGTCGGTTAAATGACACCAAATGTGGAGCTTGTCAAGGCCAACTATAATGTGGAAAAATATTTTGATAAAATCTATTCGTTTTTGTTTTATACGCAAAAAACAGATTTTGATCATTTTCATGTCTCCTCCCTAACTTCTTTATTTATGGAAATATTCAAATAGGAATTACTCATTCTCACGGCAGTTTTTCAAAGTGATTTCGAAAAAACTATGAAACTTATACTAACTCTTCTAGAATTTGAGATATCAGCACCAACTTTATTTTTTCAAATGTAGGTCATAGCTCACTATGACTTAGTTACAAAACATTTTTTTTTCTCTTGCAAATGATATGTCGCATTAGTTTTGTGTTGATAACAACGGAGTTATCGTCATTTATACAAAAACAAAAATTATTTGGGAGCCGCCATCTTGAATTTATAAATTTTAACAAAAAAATCATGATCTCCGACCTCAAAAACCACCACTCACCAATTTTGAATGGAATCGGACCAAATCTTGTCCGCCATGATGGCGGAAATTTATAAATTCAAGATGGCGGCTTCCAAATAATTTTTTTGTTTTTGTATAAATGACGATAACCCCGTTGTTATCAACACAAAACTATTACTGCGACATATTATCTGTAGGAGAAAAAAAAGTTATTTGTAATAAGTCAAAGTGAGCTATGACCTACTTTTGAAAAACAAAATTTGGTGCTGATATCTCAAATTCTAGAAGAGTTGGTATAAATTTTATATGTTTTTCGAAATCACTTTGAAAAACTGCCATGAGAATGTGAAATTCCTATTTGAATATTTCCATAAATAAAGAAGTTACGAAGGAGACATGAAAATGATCAAAATCTGCTTTTTGCGAATAAAACAGAAACGAATAGATTTCATCAAAATATTTTTTCACATTATAGTTGGCCTTGACAAATTCCACATTTGGTGTCATTCAACCGACCTCGTATCTCTCACTGTTAAAAAGATACCCATGGCGTTGATTGATATATTACGCTTACGCTGGCGTAAGCGTAATATATCAATCAACGCCCATGGTGAGAATGGTAAGTGGGACACACTGTATATATTTTTTTTTCGTCGTGGTGATCGGAGAAACTTCTCTGAGATCGAAAGAATTAATTTTATTTAGGAATAAACATATGGAACCAGTCTTACTTGCGGAAGAATCATGAACTTATGAACCTCCGATAAAAATGTCTTCTACTTCCAAAAAGTTTCGTTTTTTGTCAACAGTAAAAACACGAGAGTTTTTTTTATCGGATGAATTTCTCTTGGTAACGAAACACATTTGCCGATCGGTAATTTGCTCAACCTACGGTCTTGCAATTTTTTTATGTCAGTTTTTCGAGAGAAATAACTGATGGAAAATGTTTGAGTTAGTATGGAAATTCATTCAATTGAAGAAAAAAGTTCGAGTGTTTTTTGGCAAGATAAATCAACGACAATATACAAATAAACAACAAGAATTATAACCTTTATTGATGTTTCCGTGTAACTGGTACTTTGCGGAATTAATTTTCTCATATTTTCGCACCCCTTCGTGGTCACTTTGGAAACCTGAAGAACATCTCTTTTCAAAGACTCGTTCATTCAACGAACAGCGAGGCTCTGAAACACGTTGCGAAGGGAGGTGTTCCCGAGGCATATAGCCTCCAGAAATTTAAGAAGAACACCAATTCCTACTTTATTTCCCTTGGTTCTCTGAACATTACAGGATATCCCTATTCGTGGGAACCAATACATAAAAAAAATTACGCGTGAGCCATACCAATTAGAGTCACTGGATGGTATTAGTTTGATAAGAGTTCGGACACATCTGAACTTTTGTCCTTTTCTATTTTCTATAATACAATGGTTTAAGTGAATAAAAGAATAAGACATATATTCTGCTCTTTGTCTTTTCAATTCCCCTAGTAGCGCTTGATTGTCAGATACGATTTTAGAGGTTATATTTTCTGTCAAATCAATCATAGCCGTAGATGGACAATGGATATAGGGTACAAACACTTACTTCAATTCATAGTGATACACTTCTAGCAGAGCAAGATTTATATAAATGACAAAAATGCATGTAACATTTTAATATCAGAGAATATATACATATGGATAAACTTATAGCTATTATAATTCCTTATTGTATGTGAAACTGTACTCCAGTGAAGAATTCCTAAGACAATTTCAAGAAATAAAGTCTATATAAGCTTGTGTCTGGAAATGCTTCATTTCGGAGATACAGGGTGTTGAAATACAGAGAACAAATCATTTTTCGATAAACATGGATCAATATAGAAAATATCTCCAAAACGATAACCTCCAGCGTAATTAAGGCCCTTATAATAATTCCCCTAATACATAAATATCTATTCACTTTTCACTGTTGAGTTTTGAATTCGAGGTCAGCACCAAAAACGCCATTCAATAATATATCACGTTGTACGTTACTTTTTCTTAGTTTCGTTTTCAAATTTTCAATTTCATAATGTAATTTTGCGATCATTTCCCCTTTTTCCATGATTATTTTGTTTTGTATTTTGTGTGATGGTAATAATGGAATTTTGTTCTTGAAATCGTCTGCTTTGTGAATTGATGGAACAGCAGATTCTCCCAAACAGAGTTTGAAATCTTCTGTTTGAAAATGGGCCTAGAATATAGATTCATTCTAATCAGATGCTGTTATAAGAAGTGAATTTCAATGAGTACCTACCTCACAAATTTCGCTCGTCTTCAAATTGATTTTCCACCCAGGCCGTTTCATATCTTCCTTCCATAAGTGAATGCTTGATATTTGATTTGGAAAATCGAATAAATGATATCCCTTTGTTTCAAAATTGGCACAATTTATTATACAGCAAGTGATTTCCATAGCTGCTTTTATCTCGAAAGTATAATAATTATGAAATTTTATTTCAATTCTGACGTTTATAAAATGAATTGTCAGATTCAAAAAATTCTGAATGAAATAGCGTGGGACGACTATGGTGCTCTTGTCACAATGCAAGATGTGTAACTTTATAAATCTAAACATTCAAAAACCCTAACTGTTGTCATTTCTGTGTCCGAACTCTTATCAAACTAATACCATCCAGTGACTCTAATACCAATCAATCAAACTTGACTCGACAGAAATTGGAGTGACATCAGGCGCAACTAGCTACTAGATCAAAGGAGCAGGCAGTTTATCAGCGATCAAAAAGGTGCATCCTTTTTTATCGATGTCAAAATGACTCACGTCGTCGTCAAATAGCGTTTTCCGTGTAAGAGTTGATTTATCATTCTAATATAATTTCTTGACAATTGTCAACAGTCATTCCACGTCATTCACTGTAGTGAAACCGAATGAAAAGTAGCAACCGGGATCGGAAAAGTTGCAAATGAAACGACACATTATAGTGATTCCGGGGGCGAAATCGGATAAATTAAACGCAACTATAGGTCGCGTGCACGATGACCGACTCTGAAGGTGAAATATTGGAACACAACCTCACTCTTATGTAAATTATTGAAACACAACCTCACTTTTTTAATTGTTTTCAGAGGAATCAAAGGATTGAAATAGTTTTTTTGCGCTATTCATTAATTCAAGCATGCCTTCGTATTATGCTGCTGTACAATGCACAAAAAATGCAGCGAGAGACGAAGGAATATATCACCCTAGTTCCTAATATGAGATTCACTGTTATCTTCTTGGAATGAATAAAGGCATATATATATATATAATTTTTCAGGTAAATAGTAATCTCACAAAGTTATCATTATAAAATGTTGTCTTTCCTTATTAAAATTCCTTCTGCCACTTCTGCAATACAAGCTAATACTGCTAATAGATTGAAGATGTCTACAACACACACGATCATGTTTCGTCAGCATGTCAGACCAGTCTTCCCGTTTGATTGCATGAATCCAATCTTCTTGCATTATTTTAGAAATTTCACGTGTATTTCTATGAGCTCCTATTGCAGGAGGAATTCCGATGAGAAATCAGAGGAATTACCAAATTTCAAAAATGAAAACTATATGTGAGTGACTATAGTAGGTACTTACTTCCAAATCATAATGTACCAACAGGATTCCTTCATCTCCTGCTGCAGTTTTTGTGCATTTTACAACAGCACAATGTGATGGCTTGAGAGAATCAATGAATAGCCGAAAAATATGATTCGTATGCCGAAATGATTGTGATAAACTATTTCAATCACTTGTAAACAAATAAGAAAAGTGATGTTGTGTTTCAATGTTGTTCCTCCAGGGTGGGTCATCTGACAGTTCTTGCACGCAACCCATGACACGTTCAAAACTGTATACGTAGGTGGTGAGGCTGTTGCTGGACAGGGGCGCGCTGCTACATCGCGACCACAACGGGAGAAACCCGCTCCATCTAGCGGCCATGAACGGATACACACAGACGGTGGAGCTGCTGCTTTCCGTCCATTCGCACTTGCTGGATCAGACGGACAAGGACGGGGTGAGTCGAACCACAACAACCAATTCACAATGTAGAAAAAACATCACTGTGAATCTTATCCTAAGATATACAGGGTGTCCCAAAATTGCTGACACAAAGAGCTACCACGTGTAATACAAAACTAAATAAATTGAATGGACTCAATTTATTTATACAGGCTGTTCCTTAAAGACATGCTAATATTCAAGGGGGTGATTCTTCAATTCATTTCAAGCAGAAAACTTCTCACCGACATATGTCCTACAAGTCTTAACTCTTGGAATACAGGGTGATGAGATTTTGAAAAAAAAACAGTTTTTCAATAACGGGATAATATTGTAGACATCTTTATGAAATTTGGTACATATCTTCTATGCTTCAAGGTGCATTTTTTGCAAAATTCAAATTCTGATGTGAATGCTAATCTTGAGTACTCCATTCAAGACATCTATTACTGGATAACCACAGTGTGTAACATTTTGAAATTTCTGCACCGTTTCAGTCACAAAGCAGAATTGATTCTGCCATCAGCACAAGCTGTACATGGTGGCCAAAAAAAGAATCTATGTATATGTTCAACTTTGATACACTGTATATCAAAAGTTAGGAGTTTTACGAAACACGTTCATGTGAAGTTTTATTCTTGAAATTGGTCCAAGAATCGCCTTCCTGAATATCAGGATTTCATTGAGAAACACCCTGTTTAACAGAATGTACCGTGTGTCCGTGAGACGAGTTCAAAGTACATAAAAAACACATTTTTGTACATTGTTCAGAAAAGAAACATATTGGATGAAATTTGACAGAAGTCCGTTTCAGAGGATTACCCTTCTTTCGGTATTCAAATAAACCCCAAAAAGTTGTAGGGGGGTTGTAACCACCCTCAACCACTGAAATATTTTTCAGACCATCCTCAGGGGTGCTGATACGGTCCTCAAATTTCCAGAGCGAAATGACTGCTGAGTTATCTTCATTTTGTCACCCTTGTGAAATTTTCGTTTTCTTCATAGTTCCGAAAGGAAATGATATTTTCATAAACAATGCTTACAGATATTCCTATGTTAAAGTTTCATATCATCATAATGGAAAATTCAGTTGACAGTGGAAACGAACGCAGAATTCAATATGTTGAATATGACGTCCACCTTCATCAATACAAATGTCAATTCTTTTGTTTCCACTGCCAACTAATTATGTTTCCACAGTATAAATATAGTAACAAAATGATGATAATTAATCAGACATCTTGTTCGTATTTGATATAAAAATCATCAACTGCATATTTTAATTTCCTCATTTCTAATAAAATATAAGAAGCCTCATGGTATGTAACAACTTACAAGACTGACATACATATCTATTTTTTATTTGAATTTTCGTTTCACCAATATTTTTTAATTTGAAAACATCCGATCAGGAGACAATAATCAGCAGGTCCTCTTTTTGGAGCGGCCAAATAAGGTGAACTACAATCTGCAATAATAAAAAACTGATTAAAGATTGATAGTATGCTAAATACATGAATGATAAATTATGTAGATGAGGGTTAATAATAATAATAATAATATAAGTTATAACGATGTTTTGCTCAATCACGTTATATTTTGTGATTACCTGTTGGGAAAACTTCATTTGCAAAAAAACTATTCTTGCTTTCTGATATTCACTCGTTCGTTGGTGATATTGAAATATTCATCATCTCCCTAATATCCAAAGATAGTTATGGTTTTGTGATCAGTTTAAAATGGTTTAAATGACGAATATAAATGAAATCGTATATTTGAGACCAATTTGGAAAAGAATATGTATCTACTGTCAATTCAGTTATATTTAATATATGAAATGATCCACAATTTTGATATTCATATTTTTGTTCTATACAACATATTTTTGACCATTCAAATGACGAATGGAAACTTTGACCGGTATATTTCTAAATGAATATTCATCATCTGGTTCCAAATCATATACGATAGCATGTTTCTAATTATAACAATTCTGATAACAACTGAGGTTGATAACAACTACAATGTAAATTTTCTAGTGAACATTCAAGAGCAAAATTTCTTTACTGACAAGTTGGTTGATAAATTATTCATATATTAACCCAACTTCACTCGAAATGGAAAATGCTACACGAAGCTAGGTAAAGGTATTCTTATATACTTGAGACATCAGTACCCCTTGGAAGCATTGGAATGAATGAAAGCAAAAATTGATTCGATCTTCTCTGTGTCTGTGACAAGAATACAATAATTTCAATTCATTTTTATCTGTTTGTATCAGATTTTTTAATGTTCATCTGGATATTTGTAATCTGAGAATTTTTTCGTTTTTATTGCTTTTGGGTTAAGAGGCATTCATTTGTATAGCCGTAATTCTTATAATTCAGAAACCTGACTTTCAATTTAGTAGTATTTGCACTCAAAAACCACAATTTTCTGACTGCCTCTCCCTCAACTTTTTCCTGATTGTGCCTATATCTGTTATTATGTATTCCTGAGGAAAAAATATACCTCCCAATATTGATGGGCTATAACCTCACCTCTGCCATAAACAGTTAGAGATGCATTTTCGTTCAATTCGGAAGTTTGAAAATAATAACTACTAATAATGTGTTCCCACCAGAAATATTTGTACATACAAATGTAATATCGCTTGTTCATTCGAGCTCGGTTTCTTGTACCATTTTTGGAACATATATATAGCATCTAATCAACTAATGATCAAGTCGAATTGCAGTCTACATTGTATAAAAGAATTGAAAGTTACTCACCATCAGAAAGAAAAGTTTTTTGTGCTTCTACACTTTCCGTAAATAAATCGTTCCCCATTTCTACATCTTGTTTTCACCAAGATGTTTCTGAATTTGTGTGGCACACTAGTGCCCTCTTGCGCCAAACAAATACTTGCAAACGCCAACAAAACAAATAAAATCACAACAAATTTAGTGACGACCTTCATACTTAGTGCGATGCTCGTGATATATTGACAATGAATATCTCCTGTTTATGAAGAAATGGAAATTCAAATGTCTGACGCATGTACATATACGAATTCATACAGGGTGTCTACCATAAGTAGAATTGGAAATGGAAAATCAGGTAGGTTTTTCCTACATCGTACACAACCGAAACGAGTACCCAACCAACACATGGATATTCTGAGCAACATTTTTTATCAATGAGTGATAGTCCTATCAACATTCATGAACTAAATGCTGAATATTTCCATGCTTCCTGAAGAGTATAGACATGTATACAGGGTGATTCATAACTTTTGGGGTTGTTTGGACCATATTATGGCAATAGGACCAAATATGCGTCAATAAAATATTGCTGCGGAAAAAGCTACAGGGCGTTAGAGTTGAATATTTTTGTTTTTTTGCTAAGAATCTCACTGTAAATTAACAACTGTTATCAAAATCAGCACAAAGACATCATTTTATATAGGGAATGTTTCTACTATTAGTTGAGACACCTTGTATGTTTATGGAAATATCCGTATAAGTGATATAGTTATTTAGCATATCCATTCGTTCAAGAGTGGGGAAATGCATTAAAATTCACAGAATATTATAATTTCCGAGCTCGTAAACAATAATAATTAAGGAATATCACAATACCACGAAAAAGCATCATTATTTGAAGGCTTTCTGATGATATTTTGAAGGCAATCACATAAGTAGGAAAATTGTAATAAAAATATGTGATGAGGCACCTGGACGGATTCAAGAAAAACTGATTTGTTGTTGATGGTGTTTTTAATAGTCCAATCGACATTGCTTTCATTATCTCAATGTCAAATGTAAGAACGAATGGACAAAGAAAACTTAAATTTCAAACCGTTTTAATTCTTGTAGTTATCTGCCGTACGACATCAACTTTTTGACATTTTCATCACATCCTTTATTACAGTCATATTCATCACACTTTCAGAAAAAGCAAGAACAATAGCTTTTTGTGTACGTTGTCTCCTGATATTTTGACCACTACCTACAGCTTCAACTTTACGAGGTGGAAAAAAACTTCAATAATGAAAGTTGTAGGGTTTCATTTGTACTATCTTCTGACACTCCTTGAATGAACAAATGCGAATCGCAAAATAAAAAAACATAGTCAGGATTAGTTTTTTACAAATGGAACACGCTGTATATTTTCAACTGTTATGGAAGATCTCTTTCTCATCAGGAATATCAAATAATTCGTTCGAATTTCTATTGAGTGACATTATCATGCCATTTCGGTCGAAGAATAAATAGATCACTTCAAGTTGAGAACTATTGCAGAATGTCTGGATGAAGATGTCGAAGAATTTTAACTAGTGAAACGGATCTCATATTGAGTGCCAAATAATATAGTGCAAAAGTGAACTTGATTAATTTTGTCATTGTGTCAACTCTAACAAATTGAAGGATGTCTTAATAAACGCACCTCAACATATCAATCCAATATAAAATATCATAGAACCTACTACCTAGTGTTCTTGAATATAATCACATCACTCTCAAGTAGCAACCAGAAACGTAGATTCTAATAATTGACCAGATCTTATTCCTATTTGAATGTACATTTTAGAAAATTTTAGACATCTTATAACAGGTACCATATGGATGTCCATGATATATACCATTCAGATGTCCATGGCGGATACCATATGGATGTCCATAACAGATACCATATGGATTGCTAAAAAGTTGGAAACTAGATATCCTTAGGGATTCCCATGCGTTATCCAGTGTATCCAAACTTGACGTCCTATGGATATCCGAAATGTCCAGAGGAGTTTGTCCATAGTACGTCCATTGGATCGAGTTGTGTTATTAGGGAATTGCTTTTCGTCTTTGGAAAACTGATCATATTTATGGTTATTCATTCCGGTCCAAGTTTGTTGAAGATATCACGACTTATAGTCAACAGCTATTAGAGATAGAGAGGGGCCGAATGAAATGAGACACGGTGTATAGATAATTAGAAAATGTCTAATAACCCTGCGAACCATCGCGTTATCATTGCTAAACGCACGGAGACACAAAAAGCCGAATAATATTTACATATTTGAAAATATGGGTACTGTGAAAAACGAGGAAAACAAGATATTGAACCGAATCATTGATTTTATTAGATTTTCAGTTTTGATTTATGCTTGTCACCTATCGCTGGGTTAGATATTTTTCATCTTAATTAGCATTCTCATCCAGAGAGGGCAAAAGAAATTCAAGAGTGTCAAGATCGTATGTGAAATCGTAATTGCTCATCGAGTATTAGAACTATAGCAGCTCATTGTGAATTTTCATTGAGCTTGAAACACTGAAAGCACAAAGGGATCTATAAATGTCTTCAGGATATCAGAAAGTCACTCGAATAGCTGGAACTCTATATCTTTCTCACACTCTTTGATAGAGCTCCTTGTATTGGTACATTGGTACCATATGTATGAAAGGATAATCTTGTTTCACAGTAGTAACGTATCACATGTTAATTCTTATTATTATGAATTGAAGAATACAGCTCTTCACCTGGCCACAATGGAGAACCAGCCAAACTCCATAGCTCTTCTGTTGTCGGTCGGATGTACACTCCTATATAACCAAATGGAAATGAGTGCAATCGATTATGCTATCCACTACAAATTTCCAGAGGCAGCTCTAGCGATGGTTACTCATGAAGACAGGTAATTTCTTCACACCACAGCACAATTTGATATTGAACCTTCCTCTGGAAGATTAAATAATTAAGGGTACCAAATCAGGAGAATTATTTGTTTAGGATTTCTTTAGAGGCATAATTTGAAAAACTTCATTGGATGTCGAGTAGTCTTCTAGAGGCACATAGTTACTCATGCATGACATAGTTCCTTCTGGAATTCGAATATATTGAGTACCCACTCAAAAGTGTGTTGAAGCAATGAATTATTTATTGCTGTTTCTCAAAATGATTAACTTTACTAATTATTCAAATCATTAATTCTTGTGGTACTCATTTACAGAGCTCAAGAGGTCATGATGCTCAAATCCAACAAACATCCCTGTGTAATCTTAGCCCTTATAGCCTCTATGCCAAGGGTATTCGAAGCTGTCCAGGACAAGTGCATAACCAAAGCAAATTGTAAAAAGGACTCAAAATGTTTTTATGTAAGTACTTCCATTCATGTGACTACCTATATTTATCAACTTTCGCATGAAGACCTTCCATCCATATCTTGATACAATTCTTTTTTCCTATGATAAAACCTCCATAGTCCATATATGATTTATTTTGAATCACATATCTCAAAAATCCTTTATAGTATGTTTGTTGTCACATAAGGCTAATATATTGTATTTCTCCCTTTCAGATCAAGTACAGCTTCCATTGTCTTCAATGTCCTTATTCATTTACTGAAAATGAAAAAAATACAGATCCATTACCAGCTCTGAATGTAAGTATATAGCTATAGCGTTATACCAGGATGAAGAAACACATCTAAACCTTCATAGGCGATGGTGAATCACGGACGTGTAGAATTGCTAGCTCATCCTTTGAGCCAAAAATACCTTCAGATGAAATGGAATTCGTACGGGAAATATTTCCACCTGGCTAACATCACTTTCTATAGTATATTTCTTGCCTTTATTACTGCATTCGCTTCGCAGTTGATGCAACAGAATAGTCCCGACAATTATGTGAACAATACCAATCTGACCCATTCTGTAAGTAATCAAAGAATACAATAATTTTTCCTCGAACCTAACCAGGCAAACCAGGTTAACTTTATCGTGACATAACGGTAGATTCATTAAAACTCAAGGTTTACTTGTGGAGCTTAACAAATGTTTGGTTTCATTAGTCATATATATCGAATGAAAAATTCATTGAAAAGAAATATTCTCAGATATAATATGAACATGAAAAAAATGGTCAAGTAGGTACTTAAAGAAATATCTACATTGAGAATTTGCATTCTTTAGCTGATGAATTATATCAATTTATCATACATCCAAACAAAAAAATCATTATTTGTTACAAACAGACACTATAGAGTAAGATAGACATTAGGTAGGTACCTACCCCACATTAAAAAGGCACAATATTTTATAGTTCATCACTCAAAACCTCAAATTATAACAACAACAACAATAGTGAGAAACACGAGAACAATTCAGTGACCAATCAGAAGCCTTAACCACTTCCTGAACTACCACAGTGAGCTGGTTTTTGTGGTTGGTTAACTGAGGAGCAACTTAGCAAAAATGCATTAGTTCCAATTTCAACATTCTTCAAGTGAATATTACTGAAGTAATACATTTTGGTCAATACACAATCCATAATGTTCACTTCGAGCAAAACGCTTCAGATCCATTTAAATTTGCCATATCGAAAATGCAGATTCGAGCAAAATGCGTTGAATCCTATGAATGATTGAACAAACTGGCATAAATCCATCGGCTGGTTGTCACTGAAATGAATCCACACAGAAAAGTCTTCTGTGAATGATTTCGTTCTCAAGGAAGTTATCTGTAAATGTTTTCGTTTAGTTGAGTGAATTATCTAGAGATGGTCATCTTGATTGAAGATATATTGAGAATTTTTTTTGTCTGAGCAGAATGCAATAAATCCAAAAACTGATCGAGCACAACGAAATAAATCCATTGATATTTGAGCAAAATGCTATAAATCCACACATTGATTGAGCAAACTGGCATAAATCCAACAAAAAAAGGTGAATAAATGCATAATATATACTGTTGAGTTTGGAGAATATCACCATCCAACCTTTCCGAGATTGTTATTCATTTCGATTTGTCACCGAATGAAAATCTGTTTTTGACTATATCTGATTCAAGCAGTTTTTCATCTTTCACTCGAAATCATATATTATGGATTTAAACCGTTTTGCTCAGTTGCTCCTCAACTATCATGTCATGGTTCGGAATACATTTCGAGAAAAATTGACTGGTTAACTATTGTTCACTCGGTTTGTGGTTAACTTCGAGGAAAAATGGCATAAGTGTCCATATAATATATTGACTTTCTTCTCCTTTTGCAGGAATACGTCTCTCTCAGCAAATCTAACATCCTTAACGTCGATGTTAGTCGTATGATGGTGATCAACGCCTTGGTGATAATAAGCTACATCGGGGTGAATTTTTTCAGAGAGTTTTTCCAGCTCTATCAACAGAAGTTCATATATTTCATGGATCCAATGAATATCGTCACGTGGTTCCTCTATTTTTCGACGCTGGTTATGGTATTGCCTATATTTGGGGGTGAAGTTTGCGACATTCAATTCTCATTCGCCTCACTAACCGTATTCCTGAGTTGGTTCAATTTACTTTTGTTGCTACAGAGGTTCGACCAAGTGGGAATTTATGTCGTGATGTTTCTGGAGATACTGCAGACGCTCATCAAGGTGTTGATGGTGTTTTCCATATTGATTATAGCGTTTGGCTTGGCATTCTATATCCTACTATCAAGGGTGAGTCCTCACAGGTATATCTGTTATGGCAGTTCGATTGTCAGATCAAGTTCAATGAAACCGCGAATTGCATTCGTATAATATTCATTTTCCTACGAGCGAGAAACTTTTACGCTTGATTTTTCGTTTTGAAAGTTGCACTTTTCCGTACGATTTCACTTCACATTCCCGCACGATTCCGTAGGAAATACCAGGAGACATGTTGTGATAACTGTTGGCACCAGAACGTACCCATAGCAACAGTCGCTAAGAACTGACAGTAGTGGCAGTCAACAAATAATCATTTCAGACCAATCTACATTCCCCCATTTCACAACACTATAGTATAATTCTCACAAACTGATCTAGACATTTCTGTAGTGGGCCAAACACTAAACAATTAAATTCAAATAGAAAACGACGTTCTTCAAGATTTTGCGGCATCTGCTATATTACAGCATGCAACAAACACAAATTGCACTTTCAATTTCAATGTTTACCATCGTTAATGTTTTGGTTATTGTTATTTAAAATTTCTTCGAATAAGTGTCCTATTATATCGATAAAAAAAATCTATTTCATAATTTTTCAGTGCGGAAAAGTTACTTCACCGCACTAGTGCTGTAAAGCTACTTTCCGGAACGATTTTTGTATTGTTGAAAATGACGATATTTAGAACTACCTAAAAACTAAATGATCCATGTAACTATTCTGTCTTATGCGTCATTTTGTAGCATCATTATGAAATATTGTTTATCAAAAACCTTTTTTTCATTAATAATATGGACAAAAACACTCGTAGGTAAAACTTTGTACCTAACTCTTGCGGAAAATGCCATTTTCGCCCTCGACGGCTTGCCATCGCGTGCGGCAAAATACTACTTTCGGCACTTGTTAGGTAAATAACTATTCCGCACGCGATTGCTGGCCGAGCTCCACTAAAACTACTATAATCAGTGTAATGAACGTTGGCAAATGTATATTCATGGATAGCTCGTCACTTAACAGGTTAATCACATGGCACATTTCTGAGAAATTCTCTGAACAATAAACTCCACCAAATTAATAGGAACATCACACCAATATGACCTTTAGACTTTACCCACACGCCACTGGAATGTCATGAAAATAACATTTTCAGTCATATCGTCGAATAATCGGAGTATTGATGTCGTCCTTATCAAATTAAACACGCCACACTGACTTGACGTTACTAATTAATGGTGTGACGTTACTAAACTAAGTGGTGTTCTTCCAGTGTGAACCATTTGAAAGAGTTCACTAGTACTGATCCGAATTAGTATCTGTTCGATTAACAATATTTTTTTTTACCTAACGCTTGATGGTGAATAGGGTCACTTCTCTCCGTCGAAAATATAAATAATGGAATATTCATGAATAATTTATCGAGTAAATGATAAACATAACCTCTTTGATAAATTGGACGGACTGAAGTGATTCCATTCCTCTTCCGTATGGTTCAAGGATACAAAACTTCAGTGTCATGACGTTCAGTTGTACTTAGATCAGTTCAGTCACAGGGATCAGAAATGGATCAGAATGAAAGAATATCACTCTCTAGTGATACCAACTTGCATGGTACCTCACACCGAAGTGATGATCTTTCGTCACCTGGTTGTCTTGATATAAAGTGCACAAAAATAACAGAGGATAATATCAGGATAAAATTTTCCCAGGCAGCATGGAGTATTCTATGAATGTTCTCACAGAGGTCACAACATATACTTCCTTCCAACAAAATCGAAAACAAATCAGAATTCATCGTATTGTGACGTAAGCATGTGCCGTTGTGGTGGGGCAAACAAAGAAAGGGAACGAAAGAACAAAAACAATACTTTCAATATCCTTCTCTAAGACCTCTTTGGGAAGTGCATATTACGCCTCAAAAAAACATCCTCATGCCTACATTTCTAAAACATCCCAAAACACCCCAGGGATACCTCTCAGTAGGCAAACAAAGAAATGCCACAGAAGAACAAAAACAATACTTCAATATCCTTCAAAGACCTCTTTGGTCAGTGCATATTACGTCTCAAAATAACATCTTCATGCCAACATTTTCAAAACATCCCAAAACATCCCAGGGATGTTTGTGCTCGCTCGGTATTCCATTATATCCTATGAATATCATTCAGGAATGATCATAGAATATGAATTGTGCGAATATTCTAGGTATGTACTCTATGTAAGAAAATATAGAATATATCTTTTAGATACTCGAAGATAAAAATTTTGATTCCTATGAACATATGTCCTGACTCGTTTCGTTTTTGAGATAGTCAAATTTTTCAGAAAAAAATCGCTTTTTCATCGATCATTCGGAATCCTTTCCGCTTATTCTAATGGAATTGTTATGCTCATCTACGGTAGCAATAATGGGGTTCAACGAATGTGAATTCCAATTTACCGCTCTTTTCTATAATTACTTTCTTTCTACCCTTTAGGGGCGCTGAAACTGAATAGTAAATATGCTTTCACACATCGTGATGTTCCTAAAGCATCTATCTGTATTAATTTATGTTCGAACTGTGACAGTTTCTGGGTTATGTATTCTCAAAGTATGTGAAATATTCATATCACCCTAATGGTCGCTCTTTGAACATACGTTTATGAACATATTTTCCTCCAGTAACCTTCCTTGGAATATTTTCCAGGCACTTTTAAGAAATCCTGTATACTTAGAATAATACTAGATCATTTTGGAGATGTTCCATATATTCATAGTACGCTCTCAGAACGTTCGAGGCACATTGTGAGAACATTCTGAGAATATTCGAAATGTTCCACGGGTATATTCTAAGAACTACCTCTGAATCACTTATGAATTCATGAAAATTATTCTTGTCTTTCCTTGTCTAGGGTGAACATTTGTCATTCAAAACGGTACCGATGTCATTGATCAGGACGTTTTCGATGATGCTGGGAGAAATCGATTTCCTGGGAACATACGTCAAACCATATTATATAACAAATGAAGTGAAACGATATTATATGACAAATGAAGAAGAACGATCATTTCTGCCTTTTCCGATACCGGCATTCCTGATACTAGGCTTGTTCATGGTCTTAATGCCAATCCTACTGATGAACTTGCTGATTGGTTTGGCTGTTGGAGACATCGAATCTGTTCGAAGGAATGCTCAATTGAAAAGGCTAGCTATGCAGGTAAAGAAAAAACATAAAAATAATGAAACAGTTATTTACTAACAATGGTTGCGTGTTATATGATTCATTCCGGTTGCCGTTGTTGAAACAGAAAATAGCTATTTGTGTATTTAGAGCGCAAAGGGATAGATTTCCGCTCGACAAAGAAAGTTACCGCGCGATGCGGAGCGGAGCGCGGTAATCTTTGGAGAGCGGCAATAACACTTTGTGCTCGAAATACACACAATATTTTTTCTACTAACGCAGCTTTTGGAAATAACTACCCTGCAAGTATGAGCGATTGAAATAGTTGAAAAAGTTCTTATCCATATGTCCAAACGTGTCCAAAGAAAACAAAAAAAGAAAAATTGAGATAACTGACAAGCCAGAAAAAAATGTCAAGAATTGAAACTGGACCACCAGCGTGGCAACCTGAGCTTCAGACCTGCTCTGAGCCATAGTACGATGAACTCTGCAATCAAATTGAACATTACTCATTGATGCAATGAAATAAAGATACACTGGCTTTCTGATGACAACAAAGAGTTTAAATATAAAGTATAATTCAACATTTTATAATAATAATAATAATAATTTTCAACAGATATGCTTCATCGGGAGCTTCTTGTAGAAATTTGTTGGTATATATCTTCAGCGGTGAATGTTTTGGATTTTTCTCGCTTTAAATCCAATAGATTGTTTCTTGACAAATGCGATAAGTTTCAGATACTTATTGATTCCGATATTATCTTTAACATTCAAGCGCATGTTTACGTACCATTGAATATATAGACCAATGAGTTGATGACTTCAAAGTCTTTGATTTTATACCAAAATAAGCCAGTAAAACGTTTTCTGAATACATATTCACCATCTCGGAGTCGCACCAATTTATGAATGTATCATATTGTCAATAATATTTCTTCCTTGATTTCTCCGGTAGGAGATTAAAACTCTTGCGCTTTCTGCTATATCATCAGGAAGGAGTTGTGTTTGATGATTCACTGTCACTATTTTCCATCATGAAAGAATTGGGGGTTTTCAAGAATAGATGAGTATAGGTTACAGAGATGTGCGAGGTTTTTTTTCAATATTTCCGCTCACGAGCGCAAATGCTGTCAAAGAATGACATTTCTGGGAAAACGTCAATTTTGTGCTGAAAGCGTCAAAGGCAACTTTTTTAAGCGTTTGTAGAAAAACATATTCAACTGTTTTTTGAATTGACTCGGCCGTTACTTGATGGAAATCCATGGCAAATGTAAAAAGTTCACAAACGATAAGATTTCCACAAAATTCCCAAACCCACGACATGTTTCGCTAACACAGTAGCTTCATCACCTGACGAAGCTACTGTGTTAGCGAAACATGTCGTTTGTTTGAGAATTTTGTGAAAATCTTATCGTTTGTGAAGTTTTTACATATTTATCTACTCACTGAATGGAAAGTAGGAATTTGCTCCTTTCTTTGAGGAGAAAAAGTTGCCAATTTACTCTCACGGTAGGAAAAAAATTAACTCCCGAGGAAGTTAATGAAAATTGGCTTCAGCATGCATCCTTTGGCGTCGATATAGGTACTTATAGAATTTGTGCAATAATCCTTTTCGAATTCCAATGATATACACTTCTGCATATTCCGTACGTACTTTTGATCAAAACTTTCAAATGCTGTTACACAATATAGAAATCGATTGATTCATGATGAAAGAAGTGTCAAATTGACTTGCGTTCAAACTACGCCAATTGTCCATGACATACTATACCTTCGTAACTTTGTAACTTTGTAACCATAATGATTTGAATCGAGAGATAGACCGCCTGGACCTGGAACACAATTTGAGGAATGATAATTCAGAAACTTTAGTTCACAAAAAATTGAACAATTTGGAATTCGATATTGGCCATGGATTTTGATTAATATTAGTTCAATTCTGATGAATATTGATATTTTTGCGGTTTCGGAGGTTTATTTATCTATAGTAGTCCTATCAATTACATCCTCTATTTATCTTCACCCCATGAGAATCTCTTTTGATTGTTGTGGTATTGTGCCAGAACCGAAAACATCACATGAATGTCATTCATCACAATTCTAATTTATACTTTCTAGAGCTATTTTGCACAATTCTTGGAATGATGTTTGAGGAAACACATAAATAACTAAAACATATTCAGAGATTTTTATTCTGAATTCAGAATAAATGCCATATTGGATTATCATTGCATTGAATAGAGAATAGATGTTTTCTCTCGTTAAAGAAGAAACAGTCTTTTCTTGTTATGTTATGTTAGAGTGGAGCAAAAATATCAACTTTTGAAATCCTCCTGAACTCCTATACCTAGAAAAGTGTAGTGGCAACGGGGTTAATGGTTTTAGCCCTCATGAATTGTGAACTCGATCCCTTGTTGTTTACTGGTGCCTCCATCACTTTGAAATCGGTGCTCCTGGGCACGCTAATGAGGAAAAGGCTCCTCTGAGTAACCGTGTAAGAGGTAATAACATGCGAAAACAAGGAAAATGAATGAACGAAAACCTAGTATTATCACAAGAATAACTGCGATTCCTAGACCAAATGAATTTTCGAAAACGAGAGAAAATCACAACTTAGATGATCTAAATGAACCAAAAGATGACCCAGTTTTTTTCAACGAAGTTGATGATATCAGAGCCTGTCAGGCAACTCCAGGCACTTCGTAGATGAGATTAACTCTATATCAAGTTCAATCAGCTAGAGCCTGATGTGACCTTGAGGTAAATTCAGACATCTCAGAAGTGATAATAACAAACAGCGTCCTCAAGCGTTCTATTCTAGTTATAATGGCAGGAATTAAGGATATTTTAACATAGATATCATATAAATATCAATGAAGAAGTATGTAAAAAAATGGTGAAAGTAATTAAAACTCAATGAATATGAACAAATTCAAATATGGAATGAAATGGGTAAAGCTGCCCCATCCTCATATGGTAGATATCTTTTATATGCCCTTTTGTACCTCTCAATCGCAGGGACACGGCTCTGATTATGGACATTTGCCCTTGTATGCGAATCCACCCTATTGTTTGAGGAAACGGCTTCTTCCATTTTCGTGATAATGTATCTGCTAAACGTTTCTGAAAAACGACATATTCCTGGTGTAATAAATACACCTCCAGCAGAACAAATCAATGGAGTGAAGCTAGCTCTGATGTCTTCTGCTGCACTGTCATATTTTCTATGCTTTTGCTTTGCATGATCATGGGCGATGGTATGCCAGCTTTGGGAAGTATAAGAGGGTTATCGAAAGACGCAACTCTTTCAGCTTCCCACACACCATTTATTTTTATGTCAGCATAGAGGGCAGGAACATTGATGATGGGGCCAGCCTCTCGAAGAATTGGCTCTAAGTTAACGCCATTCCAAGCTGAATTTGCTAACGCCGCACAATGATAACGATGTTGGTCATGTCCATGTTTCATCAAGCCACCTCTTTTGCAATTTAGTGCGTGCGATAAATTCATTTCGTCTCCACATCCATCATATGAAACAGTCATATTATCTAGTGAATGTCCATAACGAAGGGCTGAAGCATCTCTAAATTGGGTTGGCGATAAATCAAAAATATTATCGGACTTTGCTTCGCTATCCATGGTTAAATCCAGACTTTGCTTCGCTATCCATGGTAACATCGTTGAAAACATTGACGCTGAAAGACCAATCAGAATTGAAAGACATAAGCACACGTTGTCTCTAGACTGTGATTGGTCAGATTATTTGAGTGAAATATGTGAAGATGATGAAGAAACGATGAATTATGAAATTTTTAGGTAGTTCTTCATACAGAATTGGAAAGAAAATTGCCTCAATGCTTGCTTCAGAGAGTTGACAAACCCGAAATCATCGAGTACCCTAACGAAATAAAATGTAAACTAGGATTTTTCGATTCTTTCCTGCGCAAATGGTTCGGTAGCCCGTTCTCAGATGATGGTGAGCATACAACTTCAAGCATTAAAATGCATGGTTATCTTCACAATCTTCACTTTACACGTTTGTGGGCTTTCTCAACTTTCAGGGCCTACGTCAACCGGCAACAAGTTTTACAAGCGTAGAATTTATAGAACTGGTAGGTGCTTTTCTAGATTTTCTGATAGTAGCTTTATTGTATTTCTGCCTTCAATGCATCTTGTTTAGATTATAGTAACTTCCATTCGTAAACCTGGTGGTGCATAGGTTTTGCACCAGTTTTGCAGCCGCACTACGTTAGTTCTCTCCAAAATGTGAACTGGTGCATTCCCAATGGAATACGAAATAATATAATAAAATTTTTTGTTGGAGGTTAAATCGGGCAAATTTCTATGTATTTCATTTTACTTGATTCTTTGGGATTTTCTCTCCTCGTTTCTATAAAATAAAAATATTCATATCATTTCAATTTATTTGTAGTGGGACAAATCAGATGATTTGCCCCAAAATGTCACTGCGTTTAACAAATTTTTTTATCAGAGAGTCAAAAAACACCCTATACGAAAGAGGCTCCTTTTGCGAGCATTTTGTTTTCTTATTCTTTGATTTATCTATAAAATTTTTCGAATTACAGCTTTTTTGCTAATACCTTACGCTTATCCAACAAATTAAAATTATTGAAGGATCAGAGTACTCAAAATTGATTGGGTTGTATTCTGGTAGGACCACATTGTCTTTAAAATAACAAATGCTGTTGCCATAGCAAATAATTTGTTGTATGCCTCCATATTTGACCATTTGTCGTTGTGTCATTAATTGAGTGTCTTATTTCATTGACTAAAATTACATAAAATGCCTCAAATAAATCCTGAACAAGTAGCAAGATTAGTTGCGTTAGTGAACGATGGGCGTAGTAAACGTTACGCCGCTCGTGCAGTGGGAGTTCATGAAGCAACTGCTCGTAGAGCAATCCGCAAGTACGAACAAACAGGAGGCACCGCTCGGAGGGTCGGTTCTGGTCGTCCCCGAAAAACTTCTCCAAGAGATGATCGCTTCTTGAGATTGCGGATTTCACGGAATCGAAAAAATACTGCAGTTAATGTTCAGCAAGATCTTCGCCAAATTCGTGATGTTGCAGTAAGTAAGCAGACGGTATGTGGACGTCTAAAAGAGGTTAATTTAAAAGCTAGGAGACCTGCAAAAGGTCCCAAATTATTGCCGAACATCGTGCTGCTAGAAGAAATTTTATTGGAAATTATGGACAGTGGAATATTCCTGAATGGTCGAATGTCTTATTTACGGATGAGTCAAGGTTTTGCCCCAATATGGTGGATGGAAGAAAAAGAGTGTGGAGAAGAACTGGTGAACGGTTTAATCAAAATTTAATAACAGAATGCGAAAGTTTTAATGGTGGGACCGTTATGGTGTGGGGAGGGATTTCAATGAATGGAAAGACACCCCTTCATGTTTCTCCGGTGAGGCAGTCGATGAATGCCCAAATTCACATTGACGTTTTAGAGCAGTATGTCTTACCTAATGCAGAGTTAGTAGGCAATAATTTTATATTGATGCAGGATAATGCCCGACCACACACCGCAACAATAGTGCGAAACTTCATAGAAGCTACTGGTATTACCACATTACAATGGCCTGCGAGAAGCCCCGATATAAATCCTATAGAACATTTGTGGGATGAATTAGGGAGAAGGGTACGTTCTCGCGAGAGGTCTCCGGAAAGTCTCGCAGAAATGGCAGATGCATTAGTGGAAGAATGGGATCGTATACCAATGGAAACGATAAGCAACTTAATTTCCAGTTCTTAGAGTTGCAATACACGGTATTAAGCAGTCATCCCAATTTATAATTCTGTGTTTAATAAAAATGTTTTTCAAAATCATTGGTATCAGTTCATTACATTAGAAAATTGTTCCTCGATAAATTCATAAAGTTGGTAATCTGCAAGGATGTAGCAAAAAAAGCTGTAATTCGGAAAATTTTAGAGATAAATCAATGAATGAAAAAACAAAATGCTCGAAGAAGAAGCCTCTTTCGTATAGGGTGCGAGCACTTTCTATGTCATTACTCAATTAACACACAGGGTGAGTCAAAAATTAAGAATAAATCATGGTTCGAGTTATTCCACCACCATCAAGGAGGCTTTGAAAAAATGTTCATCTCTTTATTATTTTTTCAAGGACAGATTTAAGAAAAAATCGACCTACTATTTTTTTTTTTTAAGTAGATAGGTCAAATATCAAGTGCGTAACTTTTTTTGCACTGAGTGGATATTGAAATGATACGAATATTTTCATTTTATAGAAACGAGGAGAGGAAATCCCAAAGAATCAAGTCAAATGAATGTATCACCTCCTCGATTAACCTACAGACAGTATTTGTTATATGTCTTTGTTCATAACTTGTCCGTTTCCTGGAATTCTTTCTTGACTTCAATTTGAAACAAAATATAGATGTTTCATGGAAATAAATTTGAGCAGTTTTTTTCAATAAGTACCTCTTCATCATTGAATTAGTGCGAAACACTCAACAAAATTGTGAATTTTTGGAAGTAAACTCCTCTATTTTCTTGAAACCTCCAAATTTCCATCACAACTTGATTATGATGATTAGATTGCCACTCAATTTTGGTTTTTAAACTAGGTATGCATATTCAATGTTTCCGCCATTTTCAAAACTGCAGTGCAGAATCGTTGCACTGAGCTCTAAACTATGTGCCCCAGTTTTCCAATGGAATTCTAAAACCCGACACCAGTTTTACCAATGAAATACAAAATATGCACTCAGTGCGAGCCAGTTTTATGGAATTCGCTATTAGTATTTCATGAGAAGTGTCAAACATTTTGCAATGAACGATATCATTCCAATATTACAGGACTTGATATGGTAGTGGACAGCGGAGAAGACTTCATTGTTTCGCAGTTAGAAAAGACTAAGAGAAAATTACGGGATATTACCAATACTCTAGAAGTACAACAGCAGTTTCTTCGTCTGATCGTACAGGTTTGTAGTCCATCTTTAGATACAAGAGGAACTTGAAATAATGTCAGCTGTCCATGAAACCAAAGGACTCCGCAAATTTTCAAGGTAAATTGTGTCCCGGTGGTTTTTTTTTTCAATTTTTGGTATAATGTAGTTCATGTGGTTCTATAAATATTTTCATTGAGCCAATAACCCTCAAAGATGAACAGTTGTTTTGACAGGTGCGTTTGATTTCACTTTTTGATAGAATTGGCCATTTGTTCCTGAGAAAATAAACGATAGGTATTCCAAAACTTTTTATTCCGTTTAATAACTTCTAAAAATGGATTCTTCATGAAAAAATATAATGAGTGAATAGAATAGAATATTCATTTCACCAAGGTATAAATGTTATGTTTTTGACAGGTCAGAAACAATGGACATGTGAAAATCTAGTACATAAAAAAACACATTAAAATTAGTGGAAAGAAAAACGCATTAAAAGTAGTAGAATAAAGTCATACATACAAATACAAAGAATCGAGTAATAAAACAAACTGGAATCAGTGACATATAGTTGAATAATAATCATTCATAAGGACTCATCGAGGGGAGTCCTCCGATATTCGTCAATGGAATAAAAACAGTGACGGAGGATATGACGTTTCAATTTTGATTTGAAACAAATCAAATTCAAAACCTTGAGCTCCTGGGGCAAAACATGAAGTTTGATATATCGAGTGAATTTTCTGAGATTTGTTCAGTCTGTGACGTAAAAGCCTTAAATTATTTGCATAACGAGTATGGTAATTATGAAAATCAGAGTTGGTAGAAAACGAATTCCTGTTTTTGTGTATCTCAATAACTGTAGCATATATGAATAAGGATGTTATATAGGCATAATCAACAGTTCCTTAAATATTTGTTGACAGTGATCTCTGTAACCATAGCACCAACGATAATTCTGATAGCTTTTTTTTGCATTTTGAAAACCTTCATAGCGTGAGAAGAGTTTCCCCATAAGAGTATGCTGTAATTTATGTGAGAATGAAAAAATGAAAAATAACATGTTCGAACATTATTGAAGCATAATTGGTTTTTCAAATTACGCAAGAGATATATCGATCTTGACAGTTTATTACATAGCTGATCAACATGAGATGACCAAGTTAGTTTGTCGTCTATTACAACTCCTAGAAGTTTGACAGTTTTTCCATTGCCTGGATTTCTAGTCGAAAAAGACAATTCCTGTATCATCATTATTCAATTTCAAATTGTTGGCACTAAACCACTTCTGTGCTTTACAGAAAGAATCTGCCAAACTGAGAGAGAGACTGTCTGCATCAATTCCAGTATGTGAGTGGGAATTATTACCCCCAACCCCCATTTTGAAAAGCAGAAAAAAAAGAATTCCATCTAACCGTCATAAGTGATAGGAACTGTTTCATCACGGATAATTATGGAAACCGCATTTTTGCATTATTAACCCTTCACCAAATGGAGGGTGCAAGTGACAAAAAATATTCGGGGGATTTCGTTGAATTTTCGATATGATGTAGTCCATATATGATTCTGATCAGAAAATCATCAGGTGACAATTCTGAAAAGTGAAAAATGGACAATTTTTCTACCATAGTGGGTTTCAATTAACATTTTGAAAAAAATAGACTCTACCATTTGATTCTGAATAGAAAAACGACTTTTTTCAATATTGTATTTCTATTCCTCAATGATTTCCACCCCCCAACCAGCTTGAAAAAAATCCCTGCTACCGTGAGAAGCACAAGAAAACGTTTAATCACAAGAAATTATTTTTCTCATGCTTCTCACGGTAGCACGGTTTTTTTTTCAAGCTGGTTATGGGGTGAGAACTCCTTCAATAATTTCGAATGGAAAATCATTAAGGAATAGGAAGTCAATATTGAAAAAAGTTGTCCATTTATCAGGATTGGCACCCGTTGATTTTCTGATCAGAATCATATGGACTACATCATATCAAAAATTCAGCGAGATCCCTCGAGTTTTTTTTCATCATCACCCCCCATTTGGTGGGGGGTGATAATGCTAGAATGCGGTTTCCATAATTATCTGTGATGAAACATTTTCTATCACTTCTGACAATTAGATGGATTTTTTTTTGTTTTAAAAATTTTCAAATTGTTTCTTACAAAGAGAAGAATCTATTTTTAGAAGTAATCAAAACAAAAAGTTTTGGAATATCGTTCAGTTTCTCATAAATAAATTGTGAATTCGATCAGAATATGAATTTGAACCCCCCTGGCATAAAAACAGTCTATTTTTGGGGGCTCAGTGAACATATTTTAGAAAACCACATGAACTAAGTACATCATACCAAGAATTGATAAGATCCCCCGGGACCCAATTTAGCTTAAAAATTTGCGGGCTCCTTTAGGTACTGTTTCTTGTTTGTTAGTTTTATAGTTACCTACATAGCAGCTACTGTTTGATTCATATTGTTATATCAATATTATAATTCATTAATGACATCAGAGATGTCACTCCGTAATAAAGACATTGTAGTCGCATGAGAGTTGTGGAAATTACAAAACCCATGAAATGCATGATATTACGTCATAGAAAGTTCATCAGAATGTTATCCATTCAATATGAATATGATGAATTATTATCTATTTTCAGAAAATGGAGATAAAAACTGAGGCTGACGATGTAGACGAAGGAGTACCTCCAAACCAACTCATTCCCGCCAATGGTTATGCTAGCAAATGGACATCACCAAAGATTAGAAAGAAACTAAAATCAGTTTTGAACTTTTCGAATAAACCCAGTCCTTAGATCACATGCACATCTCCATTCAGTTGCAGAAATGGTATTGATAATCAGACTAATGGATGTGTAGATTTTCAGATGATGACATAGTAATTCAGAATCGGCTTCTATTCTATTCTACATGCTCCACGACTACCAATTCATTCTAGAGTTATTTTATGAAATTCCAACAATAGAAAAACAAATCTCATCAGTTGATAACTGATATGATGATATAAACATTGATCTGCATATGAACTATATATTTACAGGGTTTAGCTTACTTACAGTACAAACTAAATGAGCATGCTTCCGTAGTTTTTCTGAGCAGATATTTACCTAAAAACATTGGCACAAAAGTAAACAGACTTTGCTATTTTAAAATGCTCCATTCGATTGAATCACTGTCTTAATCTAGATAAGTCCCACCAGGTATTCCCTAGGGAACAATCTCTCACAGATTATGATGTTGAGATATGAGAATTCGAAGAAATCAAGGAATGTTCGATTAATATGAGATTTTCATGAATCACTTCTCTTATTGACGTGTTATCTCTCAATATAACTGGCTGGAACGCCTTTATTCTTTTTTATACAATTAGAATAGTTGAAAAACTGTTAGTTTCAGCACAAAATGTACTTTGAGAAATAAATGTTCGCGCAACAAAAACTCTTTCATATACCTTTCAATTTATTCTGGCTCGCATAATATTACTTAATAATACACTCAAAGTTTATCATTGAATTGCACTGATAATAGGGGTTCCTAATCGAAACGATTTTTACTGCAAAGTTATTTGCAGAATTGGATATATCAACTTCTTGTTAGTGTTGAATATTTAAGGAGTCATGATTTCATAAAGGAAATCTAATAAAGGGGGAATGAAGACTATTAATTCATATAAGTTTTATTAAAAATATCTATGACAGAACTATGGGAGGTTGTCGATAAAATTACAAGGCACTCTTTTGATATATAAAAAATGGCACACATTTAGTGCTAACAACAAAAATAAGTAATAACATTTTCGAAGAAGTTCAACTATTACTAGATAAATAAAATTAACGTACAAATGAGATTGTTCTGAGATTTTGCATCAAAGATTCAATAATAAAATCTAAAAGGATCCAACTTTTGTGCACAACATTATCATAATAATTGAATGTATCATTTATACAATAGGTAAGCTATAGTAAATTTATCACAGACAGTTTGGGCAAGAATATCTAGGACTGACATCACGCTTCCCTTCTATAACTCACCCAAGAAGGTTAAAATACTAAAAGTTATATACAAAATCGTCAAAATTCATGGAAAAATTATGTACACCTCGTATGCCATGACATGGCACTTTTCAGTTATTGTCATCGATTCGACAGTGAAATGCTAGTTTCTATTCCTAAGACTAATTAAGTAGCAAGAAATGAAAATTTGACACAGCCCCGCCTCCACATCGAAAGTACATTAGGCCATTTCGGATATTTGTACGTAAAATTTTGTACAAGACTTATATCACCCTCAACTTCCACTTAAACAATAGCTCCATCTTTATTCTTCTGCAAAGGCTGCAATTCCCTCTGCAATCTATCGAAGTCATTATAATACTCATGATCTGATTCTTCCTCGAAACTCTTCTGAGGCAAGTAACCTTGCTTGAACCCTACGGGTTCGCCATTACTTGCACTATTAACAAACTCAGAAACTGTTGGAAGACCTACTGTTTGACTTGGAGCGTCATTGTTCATGAGATATTCAGGATTATCAATATTGTTCTTGTAAAAGTCTTGATAAGTTTTGAAAACATTCGAGCTAGCACTTTCGGGGTTCTTAGAGTCAATTAGATCGACGTAGGTGGTGTTTCCCTGAGCTTGCTGAGGGGAAGGCATCAAATAATCGTCCTCATCCACAGGCAACTCTAGTTTCAAGGTTCCCACTTGAGCTTGGGACCTTGCAGAGTCGTATTCGTCAGAGCCCAAGTCATCTCGCATCTTCACTGAATCACCGCAGTATCTTATGCTGGAACCATCCGACTGGCTTGTTTGTGCACTGGGATCGAGCCCATGCGACTGGGCGTATCTAAGGAGTTTCTGGTTGAAATGGTTCTGGTACTGGGATGTGCTTCCATCGGAGTTCATGGGAGGAGCCGATGCCCAATAGCTGTTAGCTGTTGGGGATGGAGATATCGATGATACGGCAAGAGTAGCACCATGTGGATGACTTCTGGATCTGAGGTGAAGGTCATCACCTTCTGATGTACAATCGGTTGATCCCATAGTAGAAGCTAAGTTTCTGACCATCTCCTTGTCAGTCTGAAATCAAAAGGAATATGATTATATTTTTTCGAATCACACATGATAACTCGACATTTGATATTGATTTTGAGAGGTACAGGGTCATTCCGTATACTTGAACAGCTTCTACGGGGTTCATCATTGGGGATAAAAAAAATCCAAGTGAATAAGTTGTAGGATTCTAGGAAGTTATACCAGACGAAACAAATAAATATCGCTGGAATAAGAGATAGGTACCTACTGAAAATTGATATTATATTTTTGAAGGGGGCACTCAAACATAATATTATTGGTCTACTTGGTGCAACCCCCTAGTAGGGGTAGATGTTACCCTTAAAATCTCAAATGAGAAGTGGGGTCGAGTGGTACATCATATTGAAGTGCGTTCAATCCTCTCTAGGAAGGTACTCTAGTTCATCATTTTCTGTTGAGCAGTTTCCGAAAAAGGCCGTGTCAATTAAAAAACTAACCACCCCTGATATCTTCCTTCCAGTAAATAATATGGAGAACCAAAAGTCATGCCAATTTCATCTTTGAGAGACACTTCAAATGCTTAATGTTTGCTCTTTTGGTAGATGTAACCCTTAGAACCTCATATGAAAGGGGGGTCAAGATGCAGTTCATTTTGAAGGGCTTTCAATTCTCTTTCCAACAGTACCCTAGTTTATCATTATTGAGCAGTTTCCGAAAAATGCCATTCTAAACTGACAGGAGTATTTAGAACAAGCCTATGCCTGCACAGATATGTATGGTTTTCAGCTACTTTCAGTTTGAAAGCTTCCAACCATTTGGACTGAAAAAAAGATACAATAATACTAACCTGAAAACCATGCATATTAGTGCAAGCCTATTCTAATTACTTCTGTATGTTTAGAATGGCATTTTTCTAAAACTACTCATCAAAAAATGATAAAGTATGAGGTTCCAAGTGTAACATCTTCAATCTTAGGAGGTTGAACCAAGAGGGCTAAAAATATGCATAGTATTGGCTTTCTTGAAAATTAAATTGACATGTCTTCTCAATTTTTCATATAATTTACTGAAAGGAATATATTGAGGGTGACAAGTTTTTAAATTGACAACTAGGGTATTGTTGATAAGGGAATTGAACGATATTCAGAATGATTTGCCATTCGATTCCGCTTCCCATTTGAGATTCTAAGGGTATCATCTACCCCTCCTAGGGGGTTGAACTAAGAGGGTTGAAACTAATCATTTTTAGTGTCCTCCTTGAGAATAAAATCGACTTGTGTTTTCGATTTTTCATATTATTTACTGAAAGGAAGATATTGACGGTGGAAAGTTTTCAAAAATTTCACTCTGAATGGTTCAGTCGTTTTAGAAATATTCGGGCTTCAACATTTTACATTACGTGATAAATTGTTCTTACTAAATCGCAATGGCCATTAAGAACAACACAACTTTCTTACATAAGTTGATAGCATACTAGAAATTTGTCTGAATTGAAAGGAAGAATATTGGAATAACATATTGACAACAAATCACTCCAACTCCATTTGTAATTCCCTATCTCCTTCAGCTAGGTATATGCTGTAAGAGTGCTTTTTTCCATGGATTTGGTAAAATGAAATTATAACAAAATGTAAAAACCCTGAATATTTCGAGTACGGCGGAACCAAATATCAATTACTAATATATATTTGTGAAATCAGTATAAGGAGATCTTAATTTTTTTTGTAAAATATATAGGGTGTACCATTCAATATAACGAAGCTGGTACCCTTGTTCTTATATCAGCGATATTTATCTGTTCCATCTGGTCCAACTTTCTGGAGGTTCAGAGCAAACCCTACGAATTTCGTATTTTTTTCTATTCTCAATGATGTACCCTGTAGAAACAGTTGAATATGCGAAGTGACCATGTACACTCGTCTTCAGTGAAAATGTCACGTTTGGACGGCATGAGCGCTTTTAATGTCGCGGTGATTAAGAGAGCTGACACCATTCATCTGCGACATGTTCTCTGAAGACGACTGTACATTTGGAACTATAAAAAAAAGTTTTGGTGAATTTTGATAATGAATGAATATGATTTTTCAGAACACCTACCTGTGGAAGAGTGAAGTTTGTAAGTCTCATGAACTTGTCTCCAGGTATGGCTAAATATCTTCCTGGGTCCTGTGCCATCTTCGAGAAATCATCTTCCAACTCTTTGAAGCAAGGTCTACTCTCAGCGTCTAACATCCAACACTTGATCATTATCATATAGACTTCTATGCTAGCTATCTGTGGCTGTGGTAGCCTTTCGCCTTTTTCTAATAGCTCAGGTACTTCTCTAGCAGGAATGTTATCATAAGGTCGTCCACCAAAGGTTAGTAGTTCCCATACCGTGACACCAAATGCCCAGACATCTGATTTGTGGGTGAATATTCGATGTTGTATGCATTCCAGAGCTAACCATTTGATAGGCATTTTGCCACCAGCAGCTTTGTACTCGTCTTCGTTGATGTCCAGCAGTTTGGCCAAGCCAAAATCAGTTATTTTAACGCATGCTGGGGTTTGTACCAGAACGTTTCTTGCTGCCAGATCTCTGTGTACTAGGCGTTTTTCTTCCAGATATGCCATACCCCTAGCGATCTGGGTACTCCAGTTGAGGAGAGCTTTCGATCCAATTCTATCACGATTATTTCGAACGAAATCAAGTAAACAGCCAAGTGGCATGAGTTGGGTGATCAACATCATCTGTGAAGTCATACAAACGGCTAATAATTGTAGTAGGTTAGGGTGGTCTACTGTGGCCATGATGTAAGCTTCATCGAGAAAATCTTTGCTATTATTAGCCCCAGTATCTTCCCTGAGTACTTTGATAGCTACTGGTATCTTTGCAGAGTTTTCACCTTCCAGTATCCAAACACCCTTGTAGACTGTACCGAAAGCTCCAAAACCAAGAATGTTTCCTTTTCGAATTTCTGTTTCCTTGATGATTCTAAGTTTCGCAATATTAGGCATAACATTGCTCGGTTTCAATGGTTCGTTGTCCTCTAAACCAGTCAAAGCCATCGTCATCTTCATCGCACTTTCCCTGAGCCTTTCTCGGCGTTGGTAGAAACAAAAGATGCCAACGAGAAGGAAGAGTATCATGGTACCACCAACCACAGCTACAACTATGATGATTATATCTACTGGATTTTTCGCCGCTGATATGAATGAGCTTATTGCAACATTGGAGCAATAGGCGTGTCCATCGTCAGGAAAGACTTTATGAGGAAATTCTTCCGGGCAAGAAGATACGCATATGAAGGAGGTGCTGTTCGGGTCTGCATAACCATCTTCGAAGATTTTGAAGTTTTGACAAACTAGGCAGTTTTCAGGGCCAGAGCCTGTGCAGCCACGGCACTCGCTGTCACATGCTATGCACTCGTTGGTTTTGACTTCGGGATAGTAGTCTGGAGTGCATTCGTCTTCGCACTGTTCTCCTTTCTTGAAATGTGTGCAAACTTGGCAGCTGGATTCGTGGAAGCCATATCCAGAACATATTTTACATCTGCAATAATAATGAATCATCAGTGAAATGCATCAAAATAATTTAGGTATTAGTATTTATAGCTGCTATCGTCTCATCTCATTCATCATCATTGAATGGTAAAGCAATACCTAGGTTTTCTAAGGCAAATATGTCATTGTGTTATACAGTGTGGAGATTTTAACTGGAATAAATTCGTTAGCGGGCTGAATAGACCCACTCACTTATGACCTAACCATACTCAACCTAGTACTATTGATAGACTATTAATGAAGCGTGTAGCCTTACAGAGTATCGATGTTTGGCATGGCTGCTCTTATGTATATAATGTTTCCCAACACTAACATCTAGTCTGCTATGCTAGATAGCTAATTTCGTACTCACATATAATATGCCATGGTTATGATATTATTGCAATTATTCATTTGTTTAAGTTGATGAAAATCGTTTCGAGTACTTATTTCTGATGAAACGTTTATTTCTGTGGCCATTATACATAACGTCAGGCAGTTTCAGAAGTTGATTGCAGTTAAAGTTATATCAGGTGAATTTCATTGAAAAGAGTTGATTTTGAAGAGCAGTTAACACAGATGGAATCGAAGTATTTATTCACAATGTAAACATCTTATTTGATTTGAGAGATATCGACTTGATTATTGAATGAAATCAATAATGAAAACAACGGCTGAATAAGTAATTATTTATTTGCGATCATTAGTAGAAATTTAGCTTATAATTGCTCATATTATGATCGCGAGGTGAATAATTATGATTGTATTACCAACTGACCTTGGATGGCATTTCCTGCAAATAGCGTTCACATTCAGCTTATAATCCGACTTCTCCTGGTTATGAATACTGATATAGTCATAGTAATATCCTTCCGGACAACTCTCGTTCCCGCGAAGGCACACGTATTTTCCGCTGTCGTTCATCAAAGCCAGTTCGCAGAAATCGCAACCTCCTGGTCCGAAGGTGTTTGCAGGACCTGTGCAGTTCGAGTTGCAGTTTGAGTGACATTGTCTGCACAAACCGTTCTCTTCGTACTTTTTGGAAGGGCACTTGGGTACGCAAAAGTTGCCGTCGCGGAAATGTTTACAGGAGGTGCAGTTGTTGGCTCCAGGACCGTGGCACGATGATCCGCACTGATCGTGGCAAAGCTTGCATTCTTTGTTTTCTGCCTCATAAATTCTGAAAGAGAAAATACAGAAATGTTATTGGCTGATATAGGTAATGGCATATGCAATGCCAATAATTAAACATAACCAGGTCAGTCTCTTACAATCTCTGTTCTATTTCACCTCACAGCATCTTCTGACTTCGACATCAGTAACTGGAGATGTTTAGAAGAAATATGAAGGAATTGAATATGCTGAAGGAAATCTTATGTAGGCTTCAGGATTCAGAGACTGTATGTACTCAGACAATGTTTCACACAATAAAATGGAATGATATAATTTCACCATACGACAGAACCTAACTTCGGAGAACTGAATGAAAAATGGAATATTCCTTTATAAATTACTCGAAAACAATGTTCTACCTTCCGAATGCAGATATACAGTGAAGACGTAAAAAAATTCCTCCCCGTCTTCAACTTTAGCTAGCGAGGTCGAGGAAACTCAGGCAAAAAGATACCTCTACTACCACTTTTTGGCATGGTAATGGTTGTGTTCACGTGGCCTAGTGTCAACTCTTTTTTTCAAATGTAATCATACAACATGGACAATGATCATTTCAACTTTTCGATTTACCGTAAACCTACACACACGACACACGGATTCAGTCATTCCTTTCTCTTCTTGTCATCTATTCAACATAAAGGACCCCGCACAAAACCATAGGGAATTGGCCCACAGTGGGATTTGCCTGAAATTCACATATGTTATTGGTATGGAGTTTCTGATCAAATGTTTTCATGTGACCAATCTTCTGAGACCAAAGATTTAGCTCTCAGGGCCGTATTTAGTATAGGTGCCAAATAACCAATGACACTTTTTTTTTCAAGCCCATGATTTTTGTATCTCCCATTATAATTTAATTGAATGAGAAATGTTGCGAAATCTTGGCATTTGTCTTTCAGCACAAGTCCTCTGTAAAACATGCCTTGTCCTACAGGACCGTATTTAGTGAAACTGTATTTGCCAAAGTGCCGAATCGAATTGATTTTGTAATTACTTTCTTATTTCTTGTCCTATTTCAGTGGTATTTGCAGTTGAAAATCAAGGGCAAGGACACTATAGGAACATGTGCTCTTATTTGTAGCATATTGTGGTATTTAGGATTTGCCCGCTATAATCAAAATGTGAATTATCCATCGACTTCTGTGTTACGGGCATATTAAAGATGCCGCAAATAGTCCAGTGCAAGATGCAATACTCCAGCAGCTGTAAGTGTTCGGGAATTATGTTGATAGTGAGTGCTCGACTTTTTTGTTCACCACCCTGTAAATATCGGTTTCAACTTTGTTAGTAATGAATTAGATGAAGTTTCAATTAGATAGTAGAGTTATATTTATATCAATAGAGAAAAAACCCAAAGTCGTCTCCACAATTTTTAATGTATAATCAGGCAGTCAATCCTGCTTCATTGAGGTTGATACATGTTTCGGCCATTCAAATGGCCATCTTCAGTCAAAAGAATATAACAAATGACTGAAGATGGCCATTTGAATGGCTGAAACATGTATCAACCTCAATGAAGCAGGATTGACTGCCTGATTATACATTAAAAATTGTGGAGACGACTTTGGGTTTTTTCTCTATTGATCATTCCACTCCACTTTGAGCATGGACTACTACAACAGAAGATTATATTTATATTATAGAGTTAGGTAATTGAAAAAGTAAATGACCGATTTCAACAATCAAAACGTGTTCTTATCTTCTCCTGTTACTATCATTCCTGAAAAGCTACGAGATATGTCCTACATAAAGATTAAATGTTAGGCCGACCATCTTGAATATTGAGATGGTGACCACTTTTGTTATGTACACAAAGAAATCTACATTCATCTATCGAACGACCACTGAAATAGGACAAGAAATAAGAGAGTAATAACGAAATCAATTCGATTCGGCACTTTGGCAAATATAGTTTAACTAAATACGGTCCTGTAGGACAAGGCATGTTTCACAGAGGACTTGTGCTGAAAGACAAATGCCAAGATTTTGCAACATTCCTCATTCAATTAAATTATAATGGGGGATACAAAATTCATGGGCTTGAAAAAAAAGTGTCATTGGTTATTTGGCACCTATACTAAATACGGCCCTGAGAGCTAAATCTTTGGTCTAAGAAGATTGGTCACATGAAAACATTTGATCAGAAACTCCATACCAATAACATATGTGAATTTCAGACAAATCCCACTGTGGGCCAATTCCCTATGGTTTTGTGCGGGGTCCTTTGCTTCGTTTAACTCTCTGTTTCATAGACTGTTCAACATTCCCATGAGCCCATATGCTTTCAACAAGGAACTGAACATTATCAAACAGAGTGGTCATAATAATGGTTTCCCGTCTCCTATCTTCAATAAAATATATAAAAACACCTCAACAAATCTATTAATAGAAGTTTACTGCCCTAGGAACCGTTTCGCCTCGATTCTTTTCTTGATGATATGGATTTTTCTTTTTACACTATTGATGATACTTCAAAAATCTCAGTTATTACAAAAGATGAAGTTCAGTCAGTGCACAGTATGTTGGCCAAAGTGGTAGAAGGATTTCAACTAGACTAACTAGAGTCTTGGAGCATGTCGAAACCATAAAAAAATCCAAAACCTTCCCTCCCATTTTAGATAATAATGATAATAATAATAGAGAGAGATTTTTGAAATAAATTCTGCTATGAACAATAATTCTGTCACATCCCTTAATGAACAGGTAAACTATGATTGTATAAAATTTCACGATATTATGATGACAGACATCGGCATCCATTTCAAAAACATATAATGTTCAACTCCATATAAGCCAATTTTCTGGTTTTATAACGATATGTATATATCCACATGCCTTTGCTTGTAGTAACTTCTGAAATACGACTGAAGATGGACTTTATTAAGTCCAAAAAATGTCCCTTTGATTGACTACATCGTTATTGAAGTTGTGGAGATGACTTTGAGCTGTCCTTCCTCCCTTTCACATACAATTTTGTTGCAATTGAAAGTTATTTTGTTTTTTCACTCATTTTTGGAATATTTCAAGCAAGCTTCGAACGCTTTACAGAGGGGAGGAGGACTTTTTACGTCCTCTCTGATTATTGAGACTGAACATAAAAGATCTTATAAATGTAAAAATGCTCTTAGAGCTATTTCCTGTTTTCGTTTGATTAGGAATTGAGATACACTCACCCTTGTACTACACTGCAGTTTTGTAGACACCGATTTCCAAGTTTGAAGTTATCACAAGAGAGACACTGAGTTGGTCCTGGTCCCCAGCATCCATGCTTACTACATTGGGCATCACAAACTAAACCTTCCATTTTACAGCTCTCAATATCACTATTATTCGATAGCATCAAACGGTTTTCGTGGCTCTTGCGAATTAGATCCCAATTGATACCTTCTGCTAGACATAAGTGTTTATTCTCCAATATTGCAACTGTTCCCATGTTGATTCGTTTCAAAGATCTGAGTTCCAGAATCTCCAAAGAGGTTTTCACAATGTACAAGGAGGTCGAATATTCATATAGTGCTCTACCTCCAATAACTTCCAAGTTGCGGAAGTACGATAAATTTTTGAAATCAGGGTGGTAGGCCTGTATGTTGAGATACCCCGTGATCTCTTTCAACGTACTGAACACTTCTAACGCACTGGGATGCATTGGAGGATAACGTTCCCCAAACGTATAATTCGGAAACACGTTCTGGAAGCCTTTGAAAGAATTCTCCAGGATATCCAGATTACCTTCCAGCACGGTACAATTCCTGAAGCTGTTGATGTTACCGAAATGGATCGTGCCTTCGCCTATGCAGGTTTTAGGGCACGGTCCTTCACAAGGTACGCACTCTCCCTCATTGGCATGTTTATTAGGGGGACACGTCCTCACACAAGCACCGTTATCTTTGAGCAAATGTTCCGGACACTTTTTAACACACGTCGCACCATAAGCGTACTTCCCTGCTGGATTGGGCTCCCAGGAATACGTGGTCGGGTTGTATATCTGCATGGGCGGACACTCCTGAGTACAAACACCGTCGTCATAGAAGTTACTGCAAGCTATGCAGTCGCTCTGTTTGGGACCTGTGCAGCCTCCTGCACAGAACAGATGGCAGCATTCCCGTGGTCTCGGCCCGAAACAGCGACCTTGCGAGCATTGAGGACTGCAGAACTCCTTGGAGAACTGCTGACAATTCTCGGGGCCATCTCCCCAACACCCGTACTGGCAGTCTTTGTGGCAAGGCGGACATTCTCGCTCAGGGGAAGTGAAGTTGTAAACGTAGGAGAATATTCCTTCCGGATCCGACATGATTTCCTTCCAGTTGATGGTCTTCACGTGGCAGAGATTGTAGTTGTTGAAAGAGCCGACGCTGCCCTTGAGTACGTCTCTGAGAGCTGGTAGTTCTAGCGAGTACATCTTGGAGAGTGTGACGATTAGAGCGAATTCCTCATCTATGACGTTCATCTTAAATAGGGTCCTTCCACGGATGATTTGTAGTCTCGGGAGGGCTATTTTTTTGACATCAACGTGGGATATCAGAACATATCCGGTCACTTCTCTGATGTACTGCAGGAAACTGAGATCCAGGTTCGCTTCTTGGAGCCATGTTAGTTCGAGGTTGCCATCTACGTAGGTGCAGTTGGTGTAGCGGTCCTTCAAGTTTCTGTAGTGCCTATCTCGATTCGAGGGAACTGACATTCGGCCATTTGTACCAATACAAACTGAAAAAAAAAAGAATTAGGTTAGTATGATCGATCCGAAAGTTGGAGTTTTGGGTAAAGTATGGAAGAGATTTGACGGCACAGCTAAATTGTGAGGAACAATATGAAATAATTCATCCTGAAAGAGAAGCTAATTGTTCAAAATTCCACTATGAGGAATTTCGCTTAAGAATGGCGATGTTTTTATGTTAATGACCTTATCTCGATTTTGTTTACGATGAGAGGATATTTGTTTTTGTTGGATATCGATTGGGTGAACGGAGTATGTTGGACCTCCACAGTGTATGTTTTGTATATTTAATATCCATAAAGTTCTATGATTATGTTAGCTGATCGTCGAGCTCATTCGAAGTATGATTTACAGTCACATAAACCTCGAAAACCCAATTGGGTCAAGGAATTAGGGCCTCGAACAGTGAATAAATCCGTCACACGTCAAAACTGAGTTCGGGAAATAAACGTAACCGCTGTTATGACTATTCACCGAGAAGAATGTATGAGATATTCCACTTTGGTCACGGATTATGTGTAGTAGAATATCAACAACTTGTTCGCCTACGTAATCTCAAGTTACACGTTCTTCCAACCGCGTAGATTATAATATTATCGAAGTGGTAAACCCTCTATCTCTGCTGACTTTCGTTTATAAAACAGATCTTGTTAATTGTATTTCTACTATATAACTTCTAAGAGAACCTGTAACATTGCTTATAATGAATACATATTATACTAATAATTTTCTGAAACTTGATGGATTCCAATATGTTCAGCTAGAAATCATTTCATTCGAAATTATACTGATGATTTTTTAGTAGCAAATTACAGCGATAATTGTTTCACGTTGTTCGATTGGATTTTCGTTCAAATGAATACATGAATGGGACCTTGTAGAGCATTGTTGGTATGCTGTTCGTTTTTGCAGCCCATACACTTCTGTTTTGCGTCATTTTTGTTGAAACATACTTGGGCATTTCGCGAAATAGTTAAGAAAATGATCACGCAGAATTACATTCGGAATGGTAATTTTTTCATATTTTCATAACTAGACTAGCACTCGTCTTTGTTGCTATTGAGAAATCCCACTTGTGGACTTAGTCCTCTCGTGAAATTTCTATGGCAACAAAGATTCGTGTATCTAGTTGAAATTATCAAAAACTTATCTACATGCTCTCCCTATCCTCCCTAGGTACGCACGATGTTCCACGAACATTATGGGAATTTCCTTTCGTGCGCTCCAAGAGATAAATAACACCTGTGTAATGACTGTTGATGATATCCCTTGCAGGTCTTAGTGCACTGTAAGTCACAAGTAAATAGAGTAGGAATTTAGTGAGTATAACTCTGACTATAGGAACCCTCAAGCTATAGGGGATCTGATCCTATATTTTATGATATCCATGTTTAGAATACATGTGGTAAAAACTTAACAATGATCTACCCAGTGGCGGATTATGTATTTCTTGTGGCGAGAGAGCGCCAAACCAAGCGCAGTTCTTCAGTTCAATTTCAAGACAGCAATGCCCCCTTCCCTGACCTTCCACAAGATTATTCCACTCACATTTTTCCTGTAACCACATTATATACATCAGTATTGTATCAGTCCTTGAAATTGCAGAAAAATCACTTATATAATTTCAAAATACATTAAAATATACCTGAGGAAGCTATTTTTCGAAAATGTAAAGTGATAGACTGATGAATAACCTGTTTCCTGTTATGAGTGGTGGTTGTTGAATCGGATATGTCAAAAAAATTGGAGTGAATCAGGAAATTATTTAAGTAAATTAAACGAATGAGTCAGTATCCCTTGCTCCCAATACATTTTGGGAACATATACCTGATCGAGGTAACCTATAGACACTATCTAAAATACATTTTACTTGCTTTTTCTATCATTCCTATTTCCAGATCATTTCCTATATAGGTATCAATTGTAACAAACAGAGAACATGTAACTGAATTATTCATAAAGCAATAATGTGATGCAGTTGTTGTCAGTCTTGAAGAAATCTAATTCCCAATTTGAAGACATTTGACCCTAAATCCCTAAAAAAAATTGCCTGCGGCGCATTTTTATCGTAAAAAGTTTCAGTCTGAGTGTCTTGACCTTCCTTTTCCTGGTATGCACTGAAATGGAGTTGATGTCGTCACTCTGGAATGAATCCAATTTTCAATTTGAACGCATTTGACTTCGAACTTCAAGAAAATTCCGCCTGCGGCGCTTTCAATAACCAAGCAGTTTGCCTGGCTTTCCTGAGACCCCCTAGTATTCATTGAAATGACGCACTTGGAATTGTCCTTCGTCTCCATCAGAATGGGCTTATATCACAAAAAATGTTTATTTCATAATTCGATAGAACTCACCCAAACTAGCTCACCACCGCAAACCGTTTCTTGCTGTGAGCTCCCTACGTTTTATAAAAAATTATTGAAATCCCCGATTTTTCGGACCTCTGAAAACGAGGCGATGATGATGTGACGTCAAAATCCTAATACTGAAACAAGACTATTCCAGACAGAGATGAATGATACATGATTTCTGACAGAGTGAATTAGCGAGAGATCACAGTTGATAGAATTGATATATCAGTTGCCTCATTCTCCGTTGGGCGTTTGGTATTTTCTTTCAACTATGGCGAGATGAGGTTTCTACGTCATAAGAGGGTCCGTTTTCAGAAGGTACCATTATTTATGTCCAAAATTAAAACATTCCAGTTAATTTTTCGATCGAATTATGTCGTCAATCATTATATATGTATAAAAGGATCATCATAAATATGGTTTGAGTTAAAAGTTCTACTATAAGGTGTACACGCCCATTGCGCCTCAGTCTGCGAATATTGAAATTGACATTTCAGGTCAATTTCTACTTATAGGTCACTCTGTATTGTAAAGAACATTACAATTACATATTTTCTTCCTGTTTTCTCAGTGAGAGATTTTTCGAAATGTGTCTATGCCAATGCCCACGATATTTGCCCACACAAATCATTTATTATTACTAGTTGTAACCTTTTCGAGATTAGCTGCAATAACTCAGGTGTGCACACGTCATCGATGGCAATTTTTATCGTCTGCATTGATTGTTTCGTGGGTCGTGAATGCATATGGACATTTTGTAATATTCGAAAACCACAAATCGTGAAGCTGATTTGTTATAGTCAATCATAAAATATTGTTGCATTCAGGCGTGAGCACGTTTACAGGGTGCTCCAGATTTACATACATCTAATGATCATACATCGAGTTTTGATCACTTTTCTCGTAGCTAATGACGTTATCCAAATTTTTTTCAATCAGAGTTACCCACCTATTGCTCAAGAGTAAAGTACCCTTATTTCAGAAAATTCAGCAAAATGTTATTGAGAAAAGTTATTCCCAATTGAAAGGTATGCCTGAATACCAAAACAAGGCCTCCTCTTGATGTTTCCTTTCAACCCTCATTTGTTTTGTTACTTCAGTATCCGTAATTAGGTACTTTAGAAGGATTTGATGTTTGTCGATTAATTTGTATAGCTTCTTCATAAATATTTCAGATACAAAATGTTCACATTGAATGAAAGTTTTTGAATAAGCATTTTATCGATGATGATGTTTCACTTTGATAAAAATATGGTTTGCGAAATTTTTTATGTTAAGCTGAATATCGTTGCAACAAACATCAAGTTTGTGATTCTAAAAAATGTCATAGGATGCTATGTTTTGAAATTTAGACATAACTTTTAATTGTGAACAACTTCTCTCAATGACATTTTGCTGAATTCTCTGAAATAAGGGTACTTTACACTTGAGCAATTTTTATATTTTTTGACCTATCCTGTATGCTATTTGACTGGCAACCATTCTAAGTGACCTAAAATGATTTCCGAACATGCACCAACTTTTAGCAATATCTGTATTTTGGTTGTGCAATTCATTAAAAAGGTTCCCATATGTTGCACACTTTAATGACCACACTGTATATAGGCTGCGAAAATCACACCTGTGTTGCAAGTATCTTTGTTGCCGTGGAAAGCTCTTGAAGTAGTCGAGTATATGTCAATTCAATTGTTTTATTTGATTTTGAAAAATTGAGAACTTTGTGGTTGTTCAGTGCACCTATATATCCGGGAAAAAAGTACTCACCCATGTGAAAATTTTATGAAAAGTGATATTTTGAAACCGCCGTACAGAGATGAAATGTCAGACATTTTTCCGGCCACAGAAGAAATCAGATATAATTATTCTGATTGTTGAATCAATGAGAATTGAAAAAATCGCGGGAAACCATTTGGCGGCAACAATTTTGACGTTTAAATTGCTGTCGTGTGTCTGCCGTAGGCTTTTACCTCGGCGACTTTTGAAACATTCAGGATACCAATATTTATCTGGAAACGCACTAATATATACCTCAGGATATATGATTATTCCGTACTCGATTCCGTATCAGATATAATGATTTACTAATAGGAACTAAGATGTGAGTTATCAGAATTATGGAATTAGGAATGTGTTTCTGTTTGTTTCGGCCAATAAACTACCTACTTCTATACAGGGTGTATCTAAATAACACCGAAAAAATTCCTTGTGACATTAAAACAAATAAATTCCATATGAACATGTGTCCTAAGCATGCTACGTTTTTGAGATACAGGATGTTGAAGTTGGAAGTACTAATTGTTTTTATTAAGCCCCCTGTATGAGAATTCATGGTGCCTCAATTCAGTATGGATGAAGACTGAGAAAGCCCCAAAATTTCAGAATGATTCTAATGGGGGCTATTGAGTAATCTCAATAGAAATCTTGAAAACACCTACATTGAAATTTGGAGTCAAATCAAACTTTTATCGTTGTCTCAAAAACTGAGCTGGATACAAAAATCACACACAGGATAAAAAAGTTGTAAATTTAATAGTTCAATTTAATAAAATATGGAACTCAGAAAACCAGTGGTGTAAAATGACATTCACCATGAATATCGTTAAATTTACCTACTGCTGCACTATTAACAAAACCACAAC